ACAGAAAGATGTTACCCGAGACGCATGCACGCCTACAACACTTTTAGAGGGACGTTTTCAAGAATCACCAGGTTCGGCAAAGTATCGCGCTAGATCTAAAGGCGTTGTATACTTCTTGAATACCTTCTCGAAGGATATTCAATTGTACTGGAATTCGCAAGGCTTTAGAGATATTCTTAATGATATAGCTCTACTTGAGGGTGACCATGCAGAGGAAGACGATAGTATTAACCAGTCGTTAATAACTCAAGCTAGCGTCGAAGGTCGTTATAAGCCTCATTTAGTTCAATATGGAGGCGGGTCCCGCACATTCCCCTGGAAGTTAGCAACACCGTCGGAAGAAACATTAGTTTCACGCATCAACTAGCCAGATTCGATGAGTTTATACCCCGGTATTATACTGAAGTCGTCTGCGCTAATGCCTCCCTGGTTGATGCTCGGCACTATAACCCATTTCGTTATCATATTGTTCCAATGGCATCGCATTCAGTACTGTATTTTCTGCTATGTTAGCAGTGAGTGCCGTCAAAAATGGCGGCAAAAGATCCTAAATTTCACCGTAGAGCTTTGGTGCATCGTCACCGGGTACTGGTGGACGTTAAACGTATCCTGGAAAGCGACCACATCGATACAGCCAAATGTCTCGAGGCCCTCGTAGCAGTTGTTATGCTATGTTGGTATGATGTGAGTCTTCTTCCTATTCTGAATTTGTGGCTGTAGCTCACAAATAGTGATTACCAGATTAGCGACAATTGCAAATCAACTTGGATAAGTCATCTTGTGGGCATATTCGGACTCTTGGATGTCTGTCTGGAACAGAATATCTGCTCCGCCGATTACGAAGGGATACTGCACTTCGGCCAGCAATACCTAATGTATCACTTAATTATGGCCAAAAGCACCCTTCACGTTGATGATGTGATACCGTCATATAAACATATCCTAACGAAACTCCTGGGAAGTCCGGCAACCACATACAAGGGGCGCAACAACACAAATTACGCGGGCGTGGAAGGGCCTCATAACGAAGTGTCACGAACCATGTCGTCCACTTACGGAAACGGGGACTCCACAGCACAGCGAGGTTTCCGTCTCGTAGGTCCTAGCTTTAACGAAGAGCTAGACAAAATTGATACCCATCAAGGGTTTAGTAACCGCCTGCTTCTTATTATTAACGACATATGCGACCTGCGTGATGCTCAAAACTCAGATGAGCCAAGCCATCAAGATGCCGATATGGAAGCATTAGAACGTAGGGTGATTGAAATTCAATCCAAGCTTGATACCCTTACACAGGTGCCGCCGGAAAATACCTACCAGAATTCGGAGGCTGATATAGATCGTGATACTCGGCGGAAACTTGAAAAGGACCGAGTCAGGTCAGAGTTTATTACGATGACAGCAGACTCGAACAGGCTGGCTGCACTTCTTTTCCTCGATGAAACTTGCGCTACTCATCTCCCTCATATTGTTCCGCAATGCCGAAAGAGCCGCTCTGCCATCATCCAGAAAATACTTTCTTATGTCAAAACCATCTGCGAGACGGGACCTATCACTGCCGCCCTCCCTATTTGGCCAGTATTTGTGGCTGGATGCATGGCCTCTACTGATGATGACCGCCTGCAAGTGATGGAGATATTCGACATGTTTCTAAGTGAAGGGAAATTCGGAGTAAGTTGATATCCTACCTAATGGTGGCCCGATATTCCTCAAATACCAATGAGAGGTTCTCTGTTAACATTCATTTCAGAGCCTACCACCAGCGCTTACAGTCATTCAGATGGTTTGGCGCCAACGTGATCTAGGATGCGACGAAAACCCGCGAAAGATACTTTTCGTATCATCTGGTGACTTTGCTGGGTGTTGTGATGGTAAGGATCGTGCTCCCACGTCGCCTACGAGTCGTAAGCAGCGAACACGATATCCTTGGGAGCGTGCGATTTCTATGCTGGGAGGCTCATCATTACTGAGCCTTACATAAATGTGTGATTTATGCGGAAATTTAAGGAGTTCATGTCGCCGTTGAAATGATGGAATAATTTGGAGTTGCGCTGTACGACTTCCGGTTCATACTGGCTTCTTTTTGCTCTGGTAACCTTTGGCCCGCCAATTTACCCATTGATTTTTTGCGACCTAAACATTCCGGTTAGCTAACGTGAGGCAGATATAAAAATGGGTTTATTGGCTGGCAGGCCGGGTATAATTGTCTGGTAAGGATTAAGGGTGATATACTTAGCCCGATAAAACCCACTGCGGGTAGAAAGTTATTTGTATTTTGGGGGGAAATCCGAATTTAAATTAGCTGTTAGTCATGGTGATGTTAACTGAGTGATGTATCTACTCTGGGTACTCTTCGAATCCATGTTTCCACTACTCATCAAGCCTAGGTAGCTTAGAGAATGCGGCGTGTCCCTATTCCTTCGCGACATATCTAAAGTCTAGATACGATGAGCGAAACTGCGATGGCCGACACGATTAGGATTCCTAATAGGCTGAGATATCAGTTCAAGAGCGAGCGTAACCTAATCCTGGTTATTTCATAATCGAGCGATTCCGCTGAGTATATCCTCAGAGTTGCGAATTATGCAGTGTTCTGTCTAGGGCAACTTAGATTTATGCTCTTGAAGTCAACCCTGGTGTTGCGTTTCTGTGCATGGCATTGGGATAGTTACATCTCCGAGGACGGCTTCGTGCTACTTAGGATCGTTCATTAGCGCAGCCGCATAAATCGGTTTGATCTTAGCCAAGGTCGAATCTCGAGCCGTCATGATATGCACCGGCAATCAACAGCCCGGCCCATCCTCACTATCAGAGGAACTGCTTGCTTATCTTTCTTGGCGACGATATCCATAGACATCTTACAGGGCAGTTCTTCGTTGGTTGAATCAAAGGCGGGCATTGAAGGTATCCCTTGACTTGAAAGTACCAAAACCCTAGAAAGCTGCAATCGCGACAAAACTGACTCTTATCTTTTCCGTTCCATCCCTCTGATTAGTTCATAACTTCGCAGAGGGCGTACGATATTGCGATATAGCTACTCGATAAAGCCCACGTACGATGAATGTGTTTATCAATGCAACATGCAGCCTTCTAGATATAGGCACTCTTAAAGGTTAGGTAGTCAAATTCATATCTACCATGAGAAGTTGAGACCAACAACACATTTCGGAATGATAGCTTTAAGACAAGAACAGGAATCGAAGAGCTAAGGCATAATAAATATGAGTTAGGTCCTCCTAAGAATATAAATATGGGGTTTATGGCGATCACTAAGGTCCACCAGGTATCGGATTTAGGAGCTTTTTGTCGAACAAGTTGGATGGCACATCACATGAAAATCAGAAGGTCCAAAGACACTAATATAAACTAGCCCCATTTGACGTTCCCCGGGAATTAGTAACTGAAGGTCAAGCCGATAAATCATGAGAGCAGGCTTGTTCTTAACTACTCCATCACATCGTGGGATCCACATTGCCACAGTAACTGTACCGCAATTGAAGGTCGAAGCGAGGTCATAGTGTACGGATTAACCCGTGCATTAGTGCTTCCTATTAGTACCTAGATGACAGACAAACCCCACCACTTTAGTTCGAGATAATAGCCTAAGGGAGTCCAAGAGACCAAGAGTATTCCTAAGACATTGTTGACAATATACATACTAATCCTAGATTACCCTACTAACTAAACCGACGAATCAAAAGCCTCGCTATTCGTTATCATTCCCTATGCGGCAAGTCTTTAGAGATATCACTTCCTTGTCAACCGACACAAGCAGGACAAGTTATAAGGCGGCAGTTGTAATTATCTTATCAGATCCACCGCCAAGAGTTGCTTTAAAGAAAACATACCATGATATCCATAGGATAGGGATTCCGATTTGATTCTACGGCCCCCGAATAATTGTCAGTATCGCCGATATAACAGCCCACTAAAAAGTCCTAGCATCCCATTTTCTGGTACATAAAGCCTGCCCGGACCCACCCCGTGAGGATCTCTGATACACTTCCGGCACTATCGCACGGCTTCTGGACCAGACGACGACGAATCCCTCCCTTCCTGGGTATTAGCTCAGCACCTCCGGAATCCTTGATGTTGTCCCGGGCACGCAGACGAAGACTATCCTACCCAGGATCGCCTGTCGTGACAATTCTACTGGTGGGTTCTTCCGTGATTCAATAATACTGGTGGATTACATATGTAGCACATATATTAAAGGTGTATAATAATTATGTAACCTCCCCAGTACGTCGTATGACTCCCGACATTTAACAATAGAGGTTAGTCCAAGCGTAGGAAGATGTACCTCACCACCAATCGAGACCTGATCAGTAAGTATACCTGAAATTGAGCTTCTCCTTGTCCGTCATATCAGAAAAGGCTTCTCGTGATTTCTCTTCTTCTGTCTGGGATACCGGAGCCCCTCCTTGCAGCTTATCACGTTTGGCATTATCCCAATAGCACGTAAAACCATAAGCTGCAATAGTCACGGCACTAACGATAAGCGATATTAGGAGTCCAATATACCCTTTGTGGTATTCTGGAGCGTCATCGGCGCGGAATACTTGGGGTCCTAGGATATTTCCTACACAGTAACCTAAGAAAAACATTGCATTCAGCGTGACCTTCTTAGTATGCCCTGAAGTGTTAGCCATGGGAAGAGAAGTGCACATAGTGTAAGGTGCCCAGTATGAATAGAAGGCATAGTAGGCACCCAGGAGACTAAGCTTGTTATCCGAAGGAAGTTTCCACAGCAATATCGCCGTAGCCATGGGAAATAATATGGCGAATACGATGAGGACGCACCGCCAACCAGGAGACGACTTGCGGTAACGTTCAAGATTATAGACCAAGCCGTAGCGATAACGCCGGTTGGTATTCCTAAGAGGGTGGTGTCTAGGGGACTGAAACCCATGCCATTGACGATTATGGCCGCAAACGTAACCAGGCCGCCTGCAGAAAGATCCATGTCAGTATGGCTATCCAGTGGATTAGGGGCGGGTTCATTTTCTACCATTTGGGATATTGATAGCACAAGCAAATATGGAGATCAGCCAAGCTCTTGGTTCCATCAAGCACTCCTTAACCTGATACCATTTGATCTTCTTATCCTCTATGCCGGTATTGCTTTTGCGGACCCGTTCTAGACAGACGTACTTCTGTCGATCCGTCAACCACCAGGCCTCGACTGGCGAGCTTGGTAGGAACGCGTAGAGGATCACTGCCCAGACGGTAGTGATACCTCCGAGAATATAGAATAGCAGTCGCCATGGGGCAACACTGGAATTGCTATGGCCGACGCCATACGAGAATAGTCCTGTGATGACAGAGGACAAGGTATTGTACCAGATGGCGATCCTAATTGGTTGTTCGTCGATGGTCCACCACATGGCCGAAACTAAGGTACAGACGGGGAAGACCACAGCCTCGAAGATGCCCACTAGTACAATCGTTAGCTTTGAATACTTATCCGCGGATTCATTAAGGATTATGGGACGACTGACTCAGAAAGCGAACGGATGCTAGACTCGCGAAGTTGTTTGTTCCACCGGTAGCAAAAGTAAGACCCGCCCAAGCAAGGACCGTTATGGCATAGAACGACCGAATTGGAAGTCTCTGGATCAAGACATTACCAGGCCATTCTGCGATTAAGAAGCCAAAGTAGAAGATGGATCCTACCCAGGAGAATTGGTCACCGACCAGATGGGTATCCTCGCGCATGCCATAGATCGCCGCATTAGAGATTATGACTTTGTCTACCGCCGATATAATTACTGAAAGGGCAAGCAGAGGCAGAATGATCAGGTCGACTTTCCAAAGTACGCGTCGAGCTTCTTCTTTAGTGATGGGCTCGTTGACAATGGATTGGTCCAGGGAGGCGAGAAACTGAGCAGCGACGTCGGCGTCGCGTCCCAGTCCCAGTCCCACCAAGTCGCCGACTCCATGATTTCCAGCCTCGGTTTCAGAAAGCACAGTCTCCTTCTGATCCGTCTTGCTCGCATTAGAATGATGCATGGTATACGTTTGTAAACCGCGGGCTTTAGCCGTGGATTCTACTGCTGGAGGTTTAGTTTAATGACGCGTCGAGACAGTCTGCTACAGATCCTAGAAGATCTGGGGTGTGCGACTGTCAGACTTATGGCTTGCAATACGAATTAGAATAATAGCGGCAGTCGTAATCGTAACCGTTACCTTTAATCCCCATGGCAATCGATCCTTTCTTAGCCCATGATATCCGAGACGCCATTACAGAATACTTGCCAATGTTTTACACGCGCTAGAACGATCGCAGAGTTCAGCATCACACATCTGGAAACCCTCCATGGTCCGAGCTTCCCAGCGTCAGCCGAAATAGTACGGTTCGGTTCTGAGAGAAGCTCGAGGCGACGAATGGGTGGCAGCGCCTAGATTCGGCATGTAACGTCTGATAACGGGAACCTGGTCTTAGGGCCGTGCAATGCTATATTTTCATTTGCCCGAGCCAGGGGTGTTGAAGGTATTGGCTGCGTACTGTGGAGAAAAGTCCATCCAAAAGGAGTTGATGTAGCGGGGAGCTCTGGACAACTCCGATATATTCTTACTAAACAGTTCGAGATAGCATTTTGACCAATAGAAATTGCGGAAGGACTTTGGGGAGAAAGAAGCGGCCGCATGCTAGGATCTGATGTAAGTAATTATCTACCTAGTCTATCCGCAGATCTAAGCGACATATGTATGCCGTCGAGCACGATATCAGTTTGATGAACCCCAGTCTGTCAATTGTGCCGTGACTGTTACCGACTCTCTGGGTCATATTTCTGCGGCTATGTCGCCCTGTGAGCGCTTATTGGCTGGTCATTTTGATGTGATGTGGTCAGCTTCGGTATGAGTATGGCGCTATCATCAATTACTTACTATTGAGGTAGTTTAGTTATCTTACCAACAAAGAATATAGATTTTTATACTCGTACGATACGAATCTTGTTCTATGAATGAATGCTACAATGCTTTTTGGTCGCACATGGCACAGGTGCCGTTTTGAAACCTAAGATCTAAACACCAGAATCCAAGCATCGCGATATAAATATCACGACATGCCACTAAAGCGTACGTAGGTATTCAATAAGGCTAGTTGTTGTAAGAATGTAAGTAGGTAAGAATTAAGGAAACAAATATGCTATTACACGAAGAACTATGAACCCATTCGAGACTAAACCACTAATGTAACTCCTTGTTCCTAAATGTTTCAGTGGCCTAGGGATGGCTAAAGGGATTCTAATAGTTACGTATGTAACTATGATCAGGTCCGGATAGGTTCGGACAAGCTCGGAAACATCGGGATCTGAGATTCTTGGGTATCCTTCGTGGGCATAGATACATAGAAGAATGTATATTATCCTAACTAATAGCTACTAAGTCTATCTAATTAGGAAAGGGGGTTAACATAACCATGTACCTCTTCTCATCATACATATGTTGTGTAGCTATGCACGTGGTATTTCTGACAATTCTTGCGTGGCCGTGTCACCACGCCACGTCCCTGTCGATTTGAGTTTGGTATCGTCTTTCCACTGCCACTTCGGAATACTCTGCGACCCATGTTCCAAAATATCCTTGACAAACCCTCCAAAGATTGGAAGCATCTTGAACCCATGACCTGAGTCTCCAGAGAGGACAATAAGCGAGGAATTAGTGTCAGGGACAAAATCAATAATATAGTCAGAGTCTATCGTATCTGCAAACCAGCACAGGTGTTTGTCGATTAGTGGGCGGTTTGCAAATTGGGGAAACACCTCCTGTAGCAGTTTACGAATGTAGGCCTCGTCATCCAATGGAATGAATTGAGAATCCTCTAGTTTCTCGTAAGGAAGTGATAGTCCATTTTTAGTCATGGCGAAGTTAGTAAAGCCACCCCCCATATGGCAGAATTTGAGCTTGTTTGTGGCCTTGTCGGGCTCGAAGAAAAAGGCAAGGTCTCGAACATTAGTGACAGGTATGCCCCTGAGAGGCGAGGCCTCTTCAGGCGTTAGTTGGATGTGCACCACGCCCCAGCAACGACCAGTAACCTGTGGCCCTAACTGAGGAATCAAACCCGGAACGTCAGCACCCAAAGCCAATATGACCTTTTCTGCATGGTATATCTGGTTCCCACGCGTTTTAACCCCGACACACACCCTTCTAGATGATATGGCGTCATAAACTAGTTCAGTTACTTGTCCGTTGTCTCTACCAAGGATGAAATTGACGCCCAACTTAATACAGGCATCATAAACAGCTTTCGATGCGTCTGCCGAATGAGCATACCCGGCAAGCTTGTTAAAATAGCCTGACCATCCTGCCGTGGGACCAGTAAACGCGGGTGCAACCTTCTTTATCCCTTCTGCGCCGTGAACGAGTGAAACCTCCTTCTTGAACCTCTCATGCTCCCTGATTGAAGTAAAGTAATTCGTAACCACATCCTTGGTTGCTTGCGGAGCGCTTTCCGAAGTCACATTTAAAAAGCCAGTTTGACGAAAATGAGGTTTGTACAACGGGTCACTCTGCCATTTGTCGATGGCATCCTACGATGGTTAGTGCGTTAGTGAAAGACTAGGGGAGGCACATCGATGCTCGTCAACTTACTATAGCGAGACTCGTGTAGAAATTATCAGCATATTCAGCACGGATGACTTTGTTGAGGTCGTTGCCGGCAGAGAAACGACTCGGCATCACATCATCTTTTTCGAGAACTGTGACTTTTGTATAACCAGAAGAAGCAAGAGTGTACGCGGTGGCAAGGCCAAAACAACCTCCACCAACAATCAACACGGATGGCTTTAGGGAATCTTGGGTAGTCATTGTGGCGAAGAGCAAATAAGTGCTCGCAAGTAAATCGTGATGTTCGGAAAGTTTACAACTACGAAAGCTTCTTGTGATACTACTACATTGGGGACATCGACCTCATTTTTATAATGCTTCTCGTCTTTATCAAGTGGAAACGGGGTGTGCCGATCCACAAGAATAAGTCGCACGATGGATAATTCTGCCGCGACTTGACGTGACAAGGACACCCCTTTAGACTCTATGATAGTGGGTAACGTGGAGGATAGGAAATTTGTTCTCCCTCTAAATTCTTCTAAGTTCCCTTTACATCTACGTTTAGGCGTGCTATGGTAAGCAGGTGTAGGCGAAACTACTAGGGAGACAGGGTGACAAGGAGGCTAGGCGACACAAGACTACACGATGGAGGGTTACCATGACCAGTTAGGCAAGATAGGATAGGCGACTGGGGATTACTAGGGAATGCCAACTAGGGAGTGCTGGGCTTCATGGATATATGTACCAAGGATATATTTGTACTAAAGGAATACACGTGGCATTTAGGGGCTAGGGGATTTCATACATGTCGTACATATCGTAGGTAAGTATGGTTACATATTAACCTGGGAGGTATATACATACGTACTAGGTCTTCGGTAATACATATAACTACCATATACATACTTATGTTAGGTAGTATAATAATAATAATTAATACCTCAATATAATATGTATACATACCTACCTAACTACCTATACCTATACTTACTTATACTTAATTATATACTTTATACTTTGTACTACATATACCTAATATTATGTATACATAATAGGAGAGTCCATCACGGAAAAGATAGCGGGTCCTGATTGGGCCCCGCCCGGATGTATTAGCGCCGTCGGCTTGACCTGCCTACTAATCTGTGTCCGTGATCCACATCCGTATCGGAGAAAGGCGGGGTTGAGTGGAAATAGGGAGATTGACCCACTTTCTAAGGTAACGGCGGGTACTACTAAATCTATAGCGTCTCTCTACAGCGTTTCTTTTTTTACAAACTGGAAGCTAAACAAGTAAACCATCTCCGGCAAACCCCCCGAATTCTTCATCTCACCTTAAGAATACTATCAACTTAAGCCACCCACGTGGGTAAATGGTAAATGGTAAATGATAAATACAATAAATCAACCAACAAACTAAAATTACTAAATCAATTAAACCTGTGTTACCTAGATCGACACTTTTTGTCGTTCCGACCTTCCCAAGATTCACGATTCCTTATCTGAATGTCAAATGATGCAGCATTCACACTTCGTGTGACTTACACGCGCTACGTAACTGGTCATATATCATTCAAAGAAACTATCTATCTCTTATGATATTAACTCAAATCCGAGTTTTTCGAATTTGGTATTTGGTATCTGGTATATGGTATTTGATCTCAACATTCTAAAATGTCTCCCGACGGTAGCCAGGGACCCTTGGGGTCAGATTCTAAATTGAGAATTAAGATTGCTATTGGTACGCCGCCACCTTAGCCAGTGGCGTCGAACAAAATGCTTAATCGAGCACAGATAGAGGCGGCACTTTCACTGATTGCCTGGGCATAATCGAGGGACGAGAAGATGATATTGTAGTGAAGATATTGTCTCAGGACCCTTCTAATTACGACGATGCACCAATCGAAGGTATTAGGCGTATCCTCGAAAAGGCCACCGGAAAGAGTTTTCCTCGTAATGAGCCAATCGACACTTCTTTATTCGAAGATCTTAGCATCCGCATGGGTACTACGGTAGCAACGAATGCGCTGCTAGAACGCAAGGGCGAGAAGGTTGGTCTTCTTATCACAGAAGGGTTTGAAGACAGCTTAAAAATTGGCCTCCAATCACGGCCCAAGTTATTCGATTTGAACATTGTCCGTCCGGACGTGCTGTATGAGAAAGTCGTTGAAGTAGCTGAAAGAGTCACAGTCGAAGGCTATCAACAGAATCCGTTCTATGAGGAAGAAGTCGTGGCGATTAGCAAAGCAGCCGAGAGCGATCCGAATTTAGTTCAGGGCCTCAATGGTCAATATATCCGAATCCTCAAGCCTCTGGACAAAGATCGCGTTAGAAGAGATCTACAAGGTCTTTACGACGAGGGTATTCGCAGTATATGTGTTTGTCTCGCTCATTCATATACCTTCCAAGGTATTAAGCTTAACTCGACTAAACACCCTTGATGTATGAGTGATTGACATTTATACCAGACCATGAACGGGCAGTCCGAGACATAGCATCTGAGATTGGCTTCTCTCAGGTGACACTGTCTTGCCTCACCTTGCCTATGATAAAAATGATTTCGAGAGGTATGTCAGCAACTGCGGATGCTTATCTCACACCCATCATACAGCAGTATATTTCGGGATTCCAGTCTGGATTCACAGACAGATTGCAATCGTCTAATACGCGTTGCGCTTTCATGCAAAGCGATGGGGGTTTGGTGGATATAAGAAAGTGAGTTGATAAGTCATTTAAATTTTCTACATTAGACTGAGAACTGACGCTGCCAAGATTCAGCGGACTCCGCGCTGTTCTCTCGGGCCCGGCAGGAGGCGTTGTTGGCCACGCCGGCACTAGTTACGACCCGGAGGACAAAATACCCATTATTGGATTCGACATGGGTGGCACGAGCACTGATGTGTCCCGATTTGATGGTATATTCGAGCACACCTTCGAAAATATCACCGCCGGGATAAGTATAATGGCACCACAATTGGATATTAATACTGTTGCAGCTGGCGGAGGAAGTATTCTACATTGGCGACATGGTCTCTTTGCCGTAGGACCTGATTCGGCTGCCGCACACCCCGGTCCGGCCTGTTATCGCAAGGGCGGTCCCTTAGCTATTAGCGACGCAAACGCACTGACCGGTCGTCTTTTACCTGATTATTTCCCCAAGATCTTCGGGAAGAGCGAGAACGAGCCTTTAGATGTCGAGATTACTCGAAAGAAGTTCGCCGAGCTTGCTGCGCAAATCAACTCTGAGACTGGCCAGAACAAAACCCCCGAGGAGGTTGCTATGGGGTTTATTGAAGTCGCTAACGAAACGATGGCGAAGCCGATACGTGCGTTAACAGAAGCCCGCGGATACGATACATCGACGCATCATCTTGCCTGCTTTGGCGGTGCCGGAGGCCAACATGCTTGCGCTATCGCAACGTCGCTATCGATCACTAGAGTCATTATACATCGTTACTCCTCTATCCTCTCGGCATATGGTATGGCACTCGCGAACTGTCCATGAGCTCAAAACGAACTTGTCCAGTCTTTACTACAGCCGAGTCTGTTTTATCAACTGTCAACGAACTGAAAGCGGAAGTAACTAAGGAACTTGAATTTGATGGGATTTCGAAGGATCGTATAAAACATGAAGTCTATCTAAATCTAAGGTATCAAGGAACTGATAATAGCCTCATGATCCTCGAGCCGGCCGATGGCGACTATATCGCAGAATTCACCCGCCAACATCAGCGCGAGTATTCCTTTACGTTCCCAGATAAGAACATACTTCTTGAAGATATCCGCGTCCGTGGTATTGGGGAGTCTATGGATAGTGCGAACGAGTCGCCAAATCGCGAGCTTGCTTCTGTAGCGAAGTTTGATGTCACTAACTCTGACGAGGATGGCAGGTCTCCAGTCTACTTTTCTGGATTTGGTTGGACAGATACCCCTATCTACCTACTCGAGAAATTGAAACCTGGATGCGTCATACAGGGACCTGCTACCATCATCGACAACACCCAGACTATAATTGTAGAACCCCTTGTTAAGGCAACAATTCTTAGTCGCCATGTCATACTCGATCTCCCTTCTAAGAGGACCCAGACGTTAAGTACAACGGTGATCGACCCCATCCGATTGTCGATTTTCGGGCACAGATTCATGTCGATCGCAGAACAAATGGGAAGGACTTTCCAAAAGACATCAGTTTCCACTAACATCAAAGAACGCCTGGACTTTTCATGCGCCCTCTTTTCCCCTGATGGTCGTCTCGTTGCGAATGCGCCTCATGTCCCGGTCCATCTTGGGTCGATGGAATACGCAGTTAGGTTCCAGAACGAGAGGTATCGTGATACTCTTAAACCAGGCGATATTCTCTGCAGTAATCACCCTATAGCTGGTGGTGTACATCTTCCGGACATCACAATTATGACACCGATATGGGATGTAGAAGGGAAAGACATAATCTTCTGGGTTGCTTCTCGAGGTCATCACCCTGATGTGGGCGGGATTAGTCCTGGCTCTATGCCGTCTAACAGTAAGTTCCTATATGAAGAGGGCGCTGCCACCATAAGTTACAAGATCGTCAGCGGCGGTATTTTTAACGAGAAAGAGACACGTCGATTCCTGTATGACGAGCCCTCGCAATATACAGGGTGCAGTGGATCTCGCAACTACAAGGATAACCTCTCCGATATGCGCGCCGCAATTGCAGCTAATAGAAAGGGTTCTAATTTAATCGACGCGCTCGTAAAAGAGTTCACCTTACCCGTTGTGCATAGGTACATGGACGCGATAGCAGAAAACGCAGAGGTGGCGGTCAGGAATTACCTCCGCTCGGTAGCTAAAAGATTGAATGGCAAATTGATCTCGTTCGAGGACTATATGGACGATGGATCGGCCATAGTATTGCAGATCCAAATTGACGGCGAGACGGGAAATGCAGTATTCGATTTCACCGGCACGTCGGAAGAAACCCTCAACTGCCTCAATGCTCCGAAAGCAATTACTTATTCTGCGGTCATATACTCGCTTAGATGTCTCATCAATCAGGATATACCGTTGAACCAAGGCTGTATAGCTCCTATCGACATTATTCTTCCTGAAGGCACAATTCTCAACCCCTCTCCGTGGGCGGCGGTCTGTGCGGGTAATAGTATTACCTCCCAGCGGGTTACCGACGTGATCCTAGGCGCTTTCCACGCGATGGCTGCGTCGCAAGGATGTGTAAACGTATTTGGGTTTGGCATAGGAGGCACGGACGATTCGGGTAATGAGGTACCCGGGTTCGGCTATATCGAGACTATCGCCGGTGGCTCGGGAGCTGGACCGACGTGGCACGGAGCTTCCGGGGTGCACACGAATATGTCTAATACGCGATGCGCGGATCCGGAGGTATACGAACTGCGTTACCCTGTGATCCTCCGGAGGTGGACGCTTAGAGAGGGTTCCGGAGGAGCTGGTAAATATCATGGAGGTGATGGCTGCATCCGCGACGTCGAATTCCGGATCCCGCTCCATGTCTCCGTTCTTAGCGAGCGACGTGTAATGCGCCCGTATGGTCTGGAAGGTGGTGGGCCGGGCGCTGTGGGTAAGAACCTGTATATCAAAAAGGAGGAGGACGGTAGGGAACGGACTATCAACATCGGAGGCAAGATGGAGTTGGACGTGGTTCCTGGGGAGCGCGTTATCATCAACACGTAAGTTCACTTCCATCCTCCCCCCTCTGCATACATCCCCAAAGAAATCTAATCGTTCCTATCTGTATAGTCCTGGTGGAGGGGGGTGGGGAACACCGGAACCTAACGGATCAGCATTGAGAAAGGGGGGTTCGACTAATAGTGCTACGACGAACCGGTTTGAACCACGAGGAAGTGTCCATAATTGGAATCTAACTGCAGAGGGTATCTGAAATTTGTTTACGGTGGGTTGCTTCTATGAGATGTTACACCTTTTCTGGACCGGTAGGAATTATTCGTTTACTCTGGGCTTAGGGATCTGATGATAATGATCGTTTGTGGTCTTTCATGTCGGCAATCAAGTGTATGCCTTGAGCTATTAGCGCGTTGGGCTTTGTCTATGACGTTGGGTTGGATTGCGTTGCTATATCATATGAAAGCATATATCGGAATAGTACTCTTGCCACTATCGTCGTTTCTCCTCCTTAACCTGACCACCTGACCCCTTAGAACACTATACCAATCTTCAGGAGAAGACCCTTGAATATAACCCCCCACGCTCGTCATCTCTGCGGCTTATTCTTCCGAGATCCGTTGCTGCAGATCGATCTCTCTAATCATGCCATGTTAGTCATAGTTATGAGGTTATTTTCTACCCGACCCTATTCTTTCTATAATTATCATCGCGGATGATTATTCATGTATATGTCATTTATGACAGGTAGAACAAGTCAGCCGACACTCCTATACTACTTGTTCGATGTTGCAAGTTCGTCACGCCACGCAGACACCGCCATTGCTTAGCACCGAAACTTATGGAATTATGCAGCATATGCTTAACCACGCGTTATTAATATATGTGAGTTTTAACCCCTTGCTAGCCTCGGTCCGGATACCTACTAACACATACTTACCGTCGAGCAAATCTTGTTCTGAGCATGGAAATTTCAAGGCAATTAGGGGTCTTGGGTTGTCTACGGAGGCATGATGCATGCGTATCGTACCGATATTACATACAGGGCTACCCAACCAATCAGCAAGTCACGAGGCGAGGTGAAGACAACCAGGTCGTCAACGATGCGTCCCACGCCAACCCCGATATCGAAAGTGGTGAAATATATCGAGCAACTATAGGATTCGTCACTGCTATAATCCACTTTACTAGACGGAATAGAAATGGGCCGTTACAATATGAGTGAGCTCAAGGCTCTTCGTATTTATACTCGCCGCGATTCCTCAGCCGGCGCTTCTCTGTTTCGCCGCTGATATCAGCAGGGACTTTCCGCATTACGCATACAGCACGCCGATCACCGGACATCGGTGAGTCGAAAGCGAAATATTTCTAAGCACCTTCTTGCAAGAGATAAGCTAGAGCGGGTGGTGGATACTTATATCCACTTAGGACTTCAGGGGGGGGTGAAGAACATCTATCTCTCTTTGGCAACTCAATACATTAGTCTTGTTGACAACCCTCTGTTAAACTCACAACTCTTCAATTCAAGTATATACCGCAGAGAGGAGGGTATATACCATGCCGGACGAAGACGAAGATTACAAACGGCAAGTGGAAGAAACCAACCAGACGCTCGTCGATGGGCTCGAGGCGCAGGTGAAGGTGGCAGAGAGAGGAGAGGACGTAGAGGAGAACTCGTGGGAGCCGTTCTTGAACCAATTGAAAGGATTGGTTGCAGATGGAGAACTTCTTGACGAGACCCGTTTGGAAGTCGAAGGGTTCCGAGATAGACTACTGGACCACACCAATGTTTTGCTTCAGTCCAGGGGTAGGGAGCTTGAGGACGCGTTAAATACGCCGGTTAGGGACGATTGAGGCTGGAAGGAGTGGGGATTGGAGTTATGGGAGGTTGATATCGGTTGGCTGTTGTCAGGGGGGAAAATTGACTAGCAGAGGAAATAGGTTGTTAATGACGTTACGGTATATTCCCTTATCTTCAGAAGGCGGTCGTACTTGGTGTGTTAATCAGGGTGGATGGTGATTTTGGTCTGGCTAGCTGGTATAATAGGAGTTGATTCGATACTTTGAAGCGCGTAACACCATGCATGTACCAAGTCACTTCATCTATTAAAAAGTTGAATGTACATTTGGGGTAAAATGATTCTAACATGTATCTCGTAAGACGATTAGATATGTGATTATATTAAAGATATCTTACCATAGTTATAATATTCATGGTGAGTTAGCTAGAGAGGTGTGTTGAGTTATATCATCATCTACTTATTATTGTCATCACAAAAGCCATAAACATCACAGAGAATTAAGAAGCATCAATTCTTCTATCATCCCATTCTCTTATTAATAGACCACTGAAATATGATCATAAGCCCGTGGGTATCATTGGGTAGTCCTTACCTGCTTTTCTTTTTCCTCGGGATTCCTAGCTCGGCTCTTTTACTTTGGACCTCCTTTACAGCGCCCGCCGGGTCCGTATTTTCTGGATGGCGCAGCTGCCAGGCGATACAGACCTCTAAGGCACGGGCCAACCATTTCCCGGGTCTGACACCCAGCGCTTTGGTGAGTTGATTGCCATCGATTATCCGTTCTAGCGACGGAGCTTCCATAATATCTAGTTCTTGTAGATGATCTAGAAACGCTTGCCATTTGCGTAGGAGCTCATCCACGCTGACTGTTTAGCTGTTAGTATGAGTTTTGGGTAGGCCGTAACAGATAATATCTAACCTGGGTCTTTTGACTTTGTGCCTAAGACATTCATAACGTCGACCAGGAAAGCGTACAAAACCTGTACCCTCCAGTGGCCAACTCTTAAGTCCCAACGCCGGATTGCCATTCCGAACCTATCCCTTTCTGCGATGAAGGGTGCCTTATCCGAAACAGCTTTCACGAGAGACATGATTTCCGTTCTGTTATTATGAGCGGTAGTTGCAAGATCGCAAAGCTTGTTGGTTGCCTTGATACCTTCTCGAATCGCCAGAGTTCCTAAGGGTGGCGGCGCTTTGCCCTTGCCAGAATGCTTAGGGTTTTCAACATTCTCCCAGGGGCAGACGGCCACTAGGACCCAGGCATAGTAGGCAGCTTCATCTGATCGTACGAGAACGTCGTAAATGGAACCAGGAGTCTTGTTCTGGCGGAGCGAGTCAAGGCATTCATATACTGCCTTCCAATTGGAGATATCTGGACTTGGAATATCCGGCTTGGACGGGTCTGTGAAAATGGTATGGTAAAGTCCGAGATCGTTGATGTATTCTAAAGACCTTCGAGGATGGTTACCTACAGTATATTATTAATAAGTCAATTCCGTGGTGATACTATAGATGTACTTGCCCTTAAGCATTTTCTGAAGCTCAATACCAATCCTCTCACGACTAATCTTTAAACGTAAAGCGTCAAGGATCTGAGGGTCGCCCATTACCTTCTCGGCAGTTGGGTCGATAGTAAACTCTAGGCGGCTAGCGAATCTAACTAGTCTGAGGACGCGAAGAGGATCATCCATGAAGGTCTGGAATGGCTCTAGCGGTGTCCTTATCAGTCGCGACTTCATGTCCGTCAGCCCAGTCGTGAAGTCTTCCACTTTGCCAGTGTTAAGGTTATAAAAAAGAGCGTTAACAGTAGCATCTCTTCGTAGTGCATCTTCTTCAGCGGTGCCGAATTTCATTTGAGGATTTCGGCTGTCCTGAGTGTAAGTCTCTTTACGAAGATTAACGAAATCAACGTCATATCCGAAGAGCTTGATTGTCGTGGTCTCAAGATGTTTAGATTTCTCTGGATTTCGCGCAATCTTATAAAGGCCACCAATATCTGACTCTTCAATGCCATGCTTCTTAACAGCATCAGGCTGTTGGCACATGACACATAGCTTCAGTGCGAAAGCCTCCCCGGTCATGACGTTGATAGCCGTATCGATGTCGTGAGATTCAATTCCCAAAAGTTTATCGCGAACCCAGCCGCCAGCCCATCGTAAAATGACCTGATCTCGGATAGTTCTCGACTTGTCTATGAATTTAGCGGCATCTAAAAGCAAGTCTTTGAGCTGAGCCTCCTTTGGGCTCAGTTCAATAGTAGTAGTAGCTGGTTGTGTTGCCATCTTCCTAATCTGAGGAAGTGGTTGAATGCTGGAGTTGCCACCTAGCACTTCTGATTTTCTCTTTACCATGAGGGACCGTAATGTTAAGTGAGGGCGAGGCTTAAATCCCCCATAGAAATTCGAGATGGAGTGAGATGATAGGCGAAAAAGAAAACGCATTGACTGCCGGATGAGTCAATATTTGATATGTGATGTAACTCAAGGCCTATACTAGACATCGGATGGAACTGGTTATTACCTGTAAAAGACTGCTTCGAGATGATTTAATTCCTACAAGATCGTTCACCACCTCTATCCATCACTTCTTTTGGATTTGTTTGTAGCTCATCATTATCGTTTTTGAGCTTCATCCCGCTAAAAATTGATGGTGGGGCAGACGATAAGTGGGAACTGACTCTTAGGTAACATGTAACTACCTAGTTTAACTTGACAATCTTGACAGTGACAACTGTAGGCGTCCAGCTGTCAGCTGTTAGCTTTGCCAAAAATCCACCTCGAATCCGATTGGCTTGTCAGATAGGTGCACCAACTACGGTTGACCAGACAGGGTACTGTGCCAAAATGAAAAAAATTATGAAAATTAAGCCTAAACAGGTAGTTAAGCACGAATTTATCCAATTAGCTCGGTACTTTACACCTTAAAGTGGGAAAAAGGCTTATTCTACTTAAGTACATATTCTATTACCTTATACGTAGGTAATATATATAACTAATTGTATTCAAAAATCCCATACCTATACCTATACCTATATGAATTCAAGGATAGCTTCATAAATACTGGTCTTAAAATGACATAATATATATCATTTGATAGCCCAAATTGATGCGAAAATGATGATATCAGTTACAGTAGTATAAGATACTAATCAGGTGTTATATATCTTACCCATTAATATTAGGTTGAAAATTGTCTTGTCAAAGGGTATCACGTGCTTGCTTGCGAAGCAACACAATTCAATTATATCTTACTTTCAATTGTAAAAGCTTAGATAACATGCAACTTAAGTTACTAAACAACATGCATTTTAGGTTATTATTTTCGCATTAATTTTAGCTATCTATTGATTGTAATTATATTATTTAAAATTGGGTAGTGGTAAAGTTATTTAAATTTGGAAAGATTACGTGTGGTATGTAAAAAGTTGATCTTTCCATTAGTGCTTTGTACTTTGTATATATTATTATATGTAAAGATACTTACTAGCCATACCTAGCTAAACAGCCCCACCTAGCGCTGCACTACACAATCATCCCTAAGATAGTCACGTGATACCCTTCGCTGGGACAAATTTCAACACAATATACTAGGTAAGTCATATAACACCTAATTCGCATCGCATACTACTGCAACTGATACCATAATTTTCGCATCAATTTGGGCTATCAAACGATATATATCATGTCATTTTAAAACCAGTATTCATGAAGCTATCCTTGAATTCATATAGGTATCGGTATACATACCTAGGTATGGGTATGTGTGGATATGGTTGTTTTTGATTAATTGAATATTTATATTATAAAAATAACCGTATGAGGCTTAAAAGTATATATAAATTGTAGTCCGTGACCTTCTACCCATCTTAGTCTAGTGCGCGATCTTTTTTTTCATTTTGGCACAGTAGCCTGTCTGGTCAACCGTACCAACCACTTTTCTCAAACATGCGCCCCTTTTACCCCTTTACCCCTTTATCCCCTCTATTCCCAACTCTCAACTCTCAACTCAATTATCTCTACATCATCGACTTCGAATTCACTCTAGAACTCGTACGAGATAATGAATCTAGAAAGTCTTGGGTTACTTCTAATCCACCTGCGAAAAGTACGTAGGGCACTTATCTCAAGAAAAGGGTCTAGAAATACGCTGAGCGAAACTGCCAAGATGTCACTGTATCCGATAACCTTCATCACGTTTGGATCCTTAAGCCTTCTAAAGTCTCTAAGTTGGATCCTCATAGTCTTTGTTTACCTATGTAAGTATAATATTAAAATTCCCTTCAACTATAAAATTTCATCTACCAGTTTAGCCCTAGAGTTTATCACATGTATTGTTATTTAGACACTTATCGTCGTAAAGCCAACACAATTACCACTTCCACTTTACAGGTAATAATATGGAGATATCTTCTCAACTACTTCAATAAAGAGTATATCGATACCATCGATATAGTTTACTAGCTACATATGTGCCGGATATCCATATCAGTGATCTGATCTAAATAGGCAATCGTACCGAATCACACCCTATCAATCTAGTAATTCCCCGACTCGGTTTTGAAACAATATCCTGATGCGGGCCAATCCCCAGAGGTAAACTTGAACCCGCTATGTTGAAAGTTTAATAGAATTCTCAGTTGCGATTGGCTCCCCATCCAAGTGTCAAATAATCAATACTTCTGTCCGGCTATCATGTTCCCGTGCAAACTGGGATTCACAGCCACAAATAACGAAAATGACCCTAATCATACTACCGTCGCTATACGAAGCTTTCGTGATAGGTCCTATCTGCGAGTCTCAGACTTCAAAGTAGTCGGGTTTGGAAGAGATAATACTACCACTATCCTGCCAAGCTTCCAGGAGTAGTATGGGAGGCAGCCCTCAGCGGAGACATGTTTGACTCAACGTGATAGTGCTCAGTCCCTAGGACTAAGAGAGGCAAAGATGCGAGCAGATGTAAAAGACTTCAAAGTCTTCATCGACTGAAATGTCTATAAGAAGGTTGATCCGCGCTGAAGGATAATGCCTTTTTATCATCGCACATCAGTTCATCACCAACTTCTTATATTTCTTCCGTTCTCTCTTGCCAATTTCTTCCTGCCGGTCAGGTATCTTAATTATATATATACCTTTTTAAATACTTGACGATGCCTTCATTTAAAGTCCTCGCTACCCTCTGCATCGTTGCCGTTGCTCAACTAGCTGCTGGCCACGCAGTCATTACCGAAGCTACCGGTGACGCGGGTGGAACTGGAAGTGAGTAGCGCATCGTTATATTTGCAGGAAAAAGAGGAATAGACTAACGTGAGCAATAGTGGCTCTTGGTGTTGATACTTCAACTCCCCGAGACGGAACCCGACGAAGGCCGTTCCAGCAGGACAGCACTCGCTTCCGGGGTGACCAAGCCGATACCGTCGGCGAAACGATTGGCGCCGGTAACAATGACATCGAGCAGGGAACCCAGGCCATCATGGAGGAGACTGGTGATCAGCTTCCTCAAGTCACTGCAGGCGGCGAACTCAAGATGACTCTTCATCAAGTTAACGCCGACGGCGCTGGACCTTTTCAATGCATGATAAACGACGACGGCACGGGAGAAGACTGGGAAGACATCCAAGTCACGCAATCTCCTCCGGGCGACGATTCGCGGGACCGCGATGGCAACGAGACGGATTTCCCACTGGTTGCGGCTATTCCTGAGGATCAAGAGTGCACCGGGACTGTTGCCGGTCAGGACAATGCCTGTCTAGTCAGATGCCAGAATGGAGCTAGGGCTGGGCCTTTCGGCGGGGTCGTTCCTGTCCAGAGTAAGATGCTTCGGAATATTTACCTATTAATGGTCAGCTAGCTAACGTTGTGTGCAGTGTCTAACTCGAATTCAACTAATACTGCACGCCGAAGCATCTCTCGCGTCATGAGGAAGAGCGTGACCTTTTCTGCTTAGCTGGTCGTCCTCTGCTTCTAAGTAATCGTCCAAAGTAAAGTCTAGGGTGTCGAAAAGCTATGTGACGCTAATACGGGGCTGAGTCCTGTACGCTCATTCTTTTGGATTGGTCTGGTCGTTCGGGGGGGCTTGAGATAGATAATCGTGGAGATAGTAATAGACTTATTGAAAGGGTATCCCTGGATTTCGTGATGAGAAGAGGAAGTAGTTTCTGATATCCCGATTGGATGGTGGTTACGAAATCATCTTACATCTTTTGGAAATGATCAGAATTGGTAGGGTGGTATTGGATAGTACAGGGGCTTGATGCCCGATGACGTGCAGCTGGAAGTTTACATTGTAATTTAATCCCTTCCCATGTCACAATCGTTTATTGTACCATACATTTTATAGAAGTTATCTAGATCTACCACGTCAATCTATGTAGGATCCCTAATTCATCCCTATCCATCTATCAATTAATTGCTATTTTATTTATTGGTCGGGTACTTAGTGATATCCATGCATTGTTACGCCATGTAGCCACAATAATTTCATCAATAGAAGTTGAAGAGGTTGATTCATGTCTCAGTTAAGACTCAATACAGGGCTGCAGGATTTATGCAGGCATTTTGACCCTCAGCGCACGGCCTCCACAATAGCAAAGTCGAGAGAGGTCTAGACCTCGATAAAGCAAGATCCATAGGATTTAGCTACATACCAACTTATACATACCAGTCAGTCAGGTATGCTACATAGTAGTTACACGAGCAACGCTTGCTTGCTGCCGGTCTACCGGTGACTAGCCGTAGACATATCGTTGATACTATCTCTCCACTTAGCATATTAATAAATATACTAGGAATAACCGGTCTTGTCGTTGGTGATAAGACGCTAATGTCGCCGTTAGAGACTTCTATATTGGTAATGTTTTTAATTGTCCGTCTAGATACCTACAAGATAAGAGGTATCTAGCTGTAGTGTATGTCCATTCTTACTTAGTATTACCCCTAAACAACGTTGATTGGTGCCCACGATTTGACAAGAAACGGCGGGGTAAATACTACATTAGGTACGCTATGCAGTATAGCAGTACCGTCACATCCGTTGCCATTGCTTAGGTATATACATGTATTTACAATGTCTTGACTGACGTCATGAACTAGACGTCTAAAGGAAAACAATACACACTATCTACATCGACCTCTAAGGAAAGGAACATTTTATAGTTTCCGTTTTGCGTCACGCCACCTGCAAGTGACGAGTTCTCGACTTACACAGCCACCGATAGACAGAGAGTCTGGTGACAGGTAATTGGGTGGTGCTCCTTTGTCAATCAAATATCTAGCCCTATTTCACTATTTCACATCACGATTATGAGCTGCAGGCTGCCGTGGATACGAGCAAGTTTCTGACTTATACACGTGAGAAACATACTGTGATTCTCTTGGACTATCCGAGCAAGCAATGGATTCATACCTATCCTATCATATTAAAAGGATACTAACCTAGGTATATCTCGATTGAACGATGCATACACCAAAGAACCCCTGCGACTCGTGACAGTAAAAGCTAAGCCCCTATAATGTGAGCTTAAAAAGAGATGAATGACTATTGGATGGCTTCAAGCGTCTAGACAACCGGCTGCATGAGAAGGGCTAGCTAGTAGCATCGGATCGTCGTTCCCACCCATCCCCAGACCTCTTGGCCTTGAGCTCAGTTGCTCTTGTCTGAGTCGTGATGCTCCCCGTAGCTAGGATCACTAAAGGATAGCTGCAGCATGACCAATGGGAGATCCGGAGTCTCACGGCATAATACACGGGAGGCAAACCAATTACCACTTCCGGGAGATACCCTTTGTTGCTCTTAGCCGACTTCTTATGCTCCGGCATATGAGATAGACGAGGATGATGCTACGCCACATATCTTGCATAATTGTTTCAATAGATTCTGGGAAAGATCAGGCGAGTTACGTACATGAAGCCGAGGCAGGTGAAGATTAGCAAACTCTACATGGTTCGATAACATCAGTCCGGTCCTTCTAATATACATGTAGCTGTATAAGAACTCTCTGGACCCCAGATAAAATATTTCAGGGTCTCAAGTCATCTTAAGACATACAATCTCAATCCTCAATCACTTTCAACTACCCTATACTCGAAACATATATCAACCTATCAATACCTAGACTCTCCTCATCTAAGGTACTTACTCCTCTTTTATTCTAAAACTGCAAGAAACTGCTTCAATGTCTCAACTCATCTGAACTTGAACTTTCTTATAAGCTAATTCATACTGCTTACCCAAAGAGAACATAATCCATCATGGCAGCAAACTATCAAACAAACGCAGCTCATTTCACCAACACTTTCTCCAGCGAACAACCCGCAATTTCAGAAAGAACAGGATCACGAGACTATTCCCACACCGACGAATGGGGTACGTAATTCCCCATCCACCCTCTCCCTTTTCGATTCTCATAAAAGTACTCTCCATATTAACACCAACCCCCCCTCCCCCCAGACGCCTCCAAAACACCCCCTCGCGCTTCCAAAAGCGCAAAGGCAGCATCTACGCCACGCCCTCGTCCCGCGACGGCCACGTAGAGCGCAACCGCGACGCGGTCGAGGAGTTCCACAAGGCGCACTCGAAGCGCTGGTCCATGAGCAGTAACGGGTCGAGCCGTCGCGGCAGTCTACCCGGCAACAGCAATAACACCAACACCAACACCACTACCAATACCACATCTACGAGTGACCAACGCCGCAAAGCCAGCCAATAGGTGTGGTCGACGGCGTGGGCGCCGGTTATGCCGTAGAGCCGGGACCGTCGCGACGGCGGGAACGGTATTATCTTTACATGTGAAAATGACGATAAATGTACGAAAGCAAGAAGAGGGGTGGGTGCATGGTTTGCCGGCCTATGCGGGGGCGGCGAGAGTCTTGAGGACGAGCGCCGTGGCGGAAAGGAGTTGATGGGATCTGGGATGATGTTCTTGGGAGGTGTGGTTGCTTCGCTGGCTTGTATTACATATATAGGGTATACCTAAACTGCCTCCATTCTTGTTTTACTACTACTACTTTACTTACCTACCTTTTTATCTTTTTTTTACCTTACGATTAGGCTATGTCATGAGCACGAATACATGAAATTCTTCCAATTATTACGCCGATTGGTTCAAGTTTGCAGTTTGCATAGTGTTGAAAGACGTGAATATTTACCAATCTTCCATAGGAGAAATGAATGCATACGATCTATATTTGATGTATACCTCTTAGGCAAATTACCTCTAATTCCCCTAGTAGAGAGAAAGCATTCACATAGCAAGGAGCCAACACTCAATTCTGCATCAAAACGTATACGAACAAGTGAATAATTATCTCTTATTACAACCATCTATCACCTCTAGTCCAGCCCCCTACCCCAAACAAACAAGCTCTACCTAAACAAATCCTAACGAGTCATGCCAGCAGTACGTGCAGGCAACCCCCATCAACTTAAGCAGTAGTAATGACGTCCCCACCCTATGATAAGCTGAGCCGTCGATCTAAAGGCAGCAAGCAATTCAGCCGTCCTGAAAAGGGAAAAAAAAGGGGGGAGACGATAACGTCATCTAACTGCGGGCATGACATATCAACAACTCATCTACCAGACCCCCAACGCTACATCGTCTTCAATTTAGGGGCCAACGAAGTAGCAGCCAATAGCACTGATCTCCTAATCCAAACCAAGAAACCTTCGGCACCTACGCATCATGATCACTATCATGTCAGCCTGGAGATAACTCACGTAGCAAGTGTACTCAAACCGATGGGCGTTTAGTGAATTCATAAGGTACCTAGGAGGTAGCTACCTAGATAGGTTGTAGGTACGTACGTAGGTATCTGTCTGCTCTGACTCTTGCACCATGGGAAAAAAAGGAAGACCAAAAAACCCGTAGAAAAAAAAGGCACGTTACAAGCGGAATACAACGCATTTTTGCATTGCTAGCCGCCCTATCCATTCACCTATGCCAAATATCAAATGCCAAGTAACTAAAAAAAACAGAAACCATCTTAGAGGTCAGTTCGTGTCAGTCGTCATCCATGCCGTCGATGTCGATAGCATCTGGGTTGCTAGGCACTGCGACCGGTTCTTTGGTTACTGTCCCTGCGAGTCCCGTGCTCGACGCCACGAATCCTGCCGGCGCTCGGGCCTGCCGCTCTAGCTGTTCCATTGCATCAGCAACTTCGGGGTCTCCGTTCGCTGTTTCTGATCCTGCTCGTGTTTGATTTGCACGTGCGATGGCTTGTGACGCGATGAAGTTCACATCGGTGTTGTACTGTGCTTGTACGCTGCGCTTGATGCGTAACATCTCCTTGTACGTGTCCTCGTTGCCATGTTGCACTTCAAACTGTTCCCACTTAGTCCAGAACGCTGGGTTCGTGCGCGGGTCGCAGAACTGGGATGCGTGTCCGTAAATGGCGCGAGCTCGGTCGATTTCGCCGAGGCGCTTCTCCATATCGGCGAACTTTAGACACATATCGCGCGCTTCTTCGTCTGGTAGAGCTGCGATGGCCCTTTCGTAGATTGGTCTCGTAGACGGCAACCCAAAATTGGACGCCGACTTGGTGATATAGAAGTTAAACATATCCGCTCGGTCTTCGTCTGAAACTGCACGGGTAGCTCTCTCGTAAATACGCATAGCGTGTCTCGCTAAACCCCGTTCCTCTTCGAGATTGCCGTACATGAGATATAACACTTTAGCAAATTTAGGCGGGCAATCTTCTACTGCCTGCTCAAAAAGATCTCGCAGTCGTTCAATTCCAATCTTTCTATCTACTGCCTTAGTCAAGTAGAGATTCCATAATTCGAAAGCCACCGGGTAACTAAAGAGGTCGAGCCCTCTTTCATATATCTTGAAGGATTCTTCGTAATATTTATGTTCCTCCATAAGATTGGCATAGTTGACGACGGTTTGCGGTGTAGCGATCCGAAGTTCGAATATCCGTTCGTACACTTTCTTCGTCTCCTCCAGGGAGTTGACACTCTCAACAAGGTCAACATAGAAACTCCAAAGCTTCCAGCTCTTATGGACTCTTTGTTGCGGCGATAGGGTTTCATCGAAATAGTCCACAGTTGATCTCTTCGGGGCTTGTACGGCCTTTGCCATGATCTTGACAGCTTCGTCAAAGTTCTCATTGCGAAGTTCCATCTCGGCCCACTCGATCCACATATCAGCCAATTCAGCAACAGATTTGAATGGGACCTTGACAGCCTTCTCCATAATGATACGCGCATTTCGTATATCACCGCCCTTTTCGTAGAATTTGGCGTAATTTGCCCATAATTGATGAAAAGGCCCAACTGCTTTCTTTGGACTGATCGCAGCAATGGCATCGGTATATGTCTGCACGACTTCGACCTTGTTATCCCCCCAAAGCGCTACTCGTTTCTCCCATTCTGAAACGCTATTGGGGTTTTGTCGTAGTAATACATCATTCAGAAGGAATGGCCGTCGGTCCATGAGCTGCTCAAACCGCATCATGCGTATATCGAGATCGAAATCGGCGTCATCATCGAGTGTGCCTTCTTCCGCTCGCTGGGAGGCTAACTCCATTAGCGCACCAATGATGGACTCTTCAAATTCTGCATAACTATCAAAGATCATGGTGAAATCCCGAACAGTCATGACAGTTGTGATTCCTTCTTCGTAAATGTCTCTCGCGCGTTCGAAGCTTCCTCTCCTGACCCAATACGTAGCTAAGCCGTACCAGAGCTTCCCTCTTTGGTCATCAAACCTGTCGATTCCACTCCTAATGATACGCTCGACATCGATGCCGGTCTCGTGGCCCGTTTCGACTTCGTTGGCATGATCAATAAGTAGGTCAACCATCTCGCTCCAAAGCTCGTAATGGCCTTTGCTATGCTTGCTATTGAAGCGCGGATTGTTGAGGATATCGATATATTTCTTCACAGCCTCGGTATAAAGACCGACCTGTATCAAGAGTTCGATAAAGTCTTCAGTATCCTCAGGATGAACTTGCATATACCTTCGCCATATCTTTACCGCAGTTTCCCCCGAGGCAGAGTTCGCGAATGGTCTATATAGGGCCCATATCCGATTGTGCTGGGTTATAGGAAGGGCTCGGAGCGCTCGGTCGAACGTGCGCCGGGTAAAGGTAACAAGGGGCTGCTTCAGTAAGAATTTTAAGTACAATTCCCATATCTTTGGCATCTTGTTGAGTAGGACGAGGGCTCGCTCGAATAGGGCGTTGACCTTTTTATACTCGGAAGCAAAAACGGCGGCATTCAGCTTTGTGACATGCTTCGTTCGGAATTGCAAGTACTATAAAATATTAGCATTTCGACGTGTCGCGACGTGAAACTCAAGCAAGATTTTTCTCACCATCTTCCAGAGCTTGTATGATCGCGGTAGCTGCTGACAAGCCCTCTCGAGAACAAAGGCTTGCTCCTGAATGGTGCCATGTTGGACTTTGAATTGAATATAAGCGAGCCAAGGTTTCGTACTGCCTAGATCCCTTAAAATATCCTGCTCATAGACGGCATCTTCATCGGTCTAGGAAGATATATTAGTTAAATTTTTAAGGCTCTCATAATAACGACGCGATAGGCTGCTTACAATAAGGTGAAGGTCTGGCTGTCGGGCAGTTCGGAGACCATTGGTCGGGCCATTGGGCGGCATCTTGACCCTTTTAACCCTTTTAACCCGTCGATTGTCGTTGTGCGCGATCGCTCGCAGATAATCTCTGCTAATCGACGGTGTAGATGAAAGAGTCAGGGCATCGTCGTGGGAAATATTTGAGGGGGGCGACAAATTTCGACCTCTGGCGTCGTGAAAAGCGACCGTGACCGCGGCAGCTTTTAAGAACTTATTTTAAGGACGAGACAGAATTAGTACCAGTTTTTTTTTTCTGAATTCCAGAACCATGGCTACGCACTATGCAACAATGCGAAAAGACAAGGAAAAATAAGGACCCTAATATTTAATAAGAGGAGTATCGATGCGCTTATAAGAATATTGAAGGAGAATGAGATCTTGGCATTTATTAAAGCATAAAACTAAAAGCTCCAACCTCCAGCTGTTGTACCTGCTGTGTCTGCTGTAAATCCGTCATGTTAACCTTAGTTTTATGTTTTATGTAACTAACTAATAATAAAGCGGGACTCAACTCCCGATAAGTCATCACGCATCCAAGACGCATCCAAGTTCAAGTTCAAGTCCAAGTCCAAATTCAAAGCAACAACCTTTAATCCAATTCTAATTAACTAACTTTTCTTCTCTTTTTGTTCTCCATTGTGTTAATAGGCCCGCCATAAACCTTAACATATTACATCAGAGGATCAAAGCACAGCTAATAGACAATACGCCATGTCTGGAGCTGGGGTATGTCAACAACCACCTATGAGTTAGCTATCTATGCACCAGCGATACGATGTTAACATATATTTCTAGGATCGAGAGGCTGTCTTTCCGACGCGGCAGTCGTTGGGTATTATGAAGGCGAAGCTCAAGGGAGCTGAGACGGGTCACAATTTACTGAAGCGGAAGAGCGAGGCCCTTACCAAGTATATGAAGCTCACTACGACCTCAGCTTAACCTGTGCTAACTTATACATTTAGACGTTTCCGAGGTATATTATATACTACCATTACATTAATCTCCAACTGTTACAGGAGTTGACCGAACCTATAGAAATCACACGGCGAATCGACGAAGCGAAGCGCAAGATGGGTCGGGTCATGCAGATTGCTGCGTTCTCCCTGGCGGAGGTCACATATGCTGTAGGTGGTGATATCGGTTACCAAGTACAAGAGTCCGCCCGATCAGCACGCTTCCGACTGCGCACTAAACAAGACAACGTTTCCGGTGTCCTATTACCCTCGTTCGAGAGCTATTTAACGGAGGGCAACAATGACTTTGGCCTAACTGGTCTCGGCAAAGGTGGTCAACAAGTGCAGAGGTGTAGAGAGACCTATGCGCGTGCTGTAGAGACGCTAGTTGAGCTCGCTAGTCTTCAAACCGCCTTTGTGATTCTAGACGAAGTCATCAAGGTTGTGAACCGAAGAGGTGAGTTGAATATTGAGCGTAGATGATATTTATAACTAAGCTAACTTTGTTCAATTATAGTGAATGCCATGTAATCGAACCCACTCAAAACATATTTAAGACAAGAACTAACTAGCTGGCAGAGAACACGTTATTATCCCGAGAACAGAAAACACCATCAAGTGTAAGTAGGCCTCTCTCATTACTTAAAGCTGATGAGCTGACATTAGCGCCAGACATCAACTCGGAGCTCGACGAGCTAGACAGAGAGGAGTTTTACAGATTGAAGAAGGTCGCCGGCAAGAAGCAACGCGATACTGCCGCCGCGGATGCCGAGATGAAGGCCAAGAAAGAAGCTCAGGCCAAGGCAGAAGCAGAAGGTGGCCAGAAGGCCCAGCCGCACGACTCGGGACCATCAGACGTACTAGCCACCGAGGACGACGATATTATCTTTTAGTCTACTTAAGCTATGGAGGGTATGAGTTTGGTGAGAGCGAATGGGGGGCTTATTTTGACCTGAATTGCATTGTTCGTTGGGTTGTCATTATATACGTATTTGTATTCCTTATGATACCAACAGGCTAAATGACATTGGGTTCCTGTCTCGTAGTACACGTATCGAAGTGAACAAGAATCGCGTAATTCTCGATGTGCAAGATATGCTAAATTGGCTTACTATCTCGACTTCTCTACGAACTACTGGCATCCATATCGAATGCAAAAGGGTATTAAATACGCGCTCATCATACAAACCTTCCCCATCCACGAACCCCAGTGCCGACCTACTGTCTCTGGTATGTAACTTTGATAAGCTTTTCGCCAAGCGCCATACCCGCAGTATTCTCCTTTGCCGTGATAGCACCCGCCTCGGCCTCGTACTCGATAAATGCGATGCCCTTGCGTCCGGGGACCAGACGGACTTCGCGGAAGCCCTCGAAGCGTCCGAAGATGCCTGTGAGCGCCTCGATGTCGTGGTAGTCGTCCGGCAGGTTCTGCACGAACAGGATCTTGTTCGGAGGGAGGTATTCGTCCGGAACAACGGCATTGGGGCCGGCGGATGGGCCAGTCGACTTGAGTCCGCGGGCTGTCTTGGCCGGACGCGCTGCTTCGCCTTGAGGGGGCTGGGCGCCGGGGCGCTTGAGGCGCTTTTGCTCTTCGGCTGCTTCGGCGGCCTTTTTCTTATCTATTAGAGAAACATTATATGTCAGTCTTTGTTTCTCTTGTATTCCGGATACTTTAATTCTGATTGTCGAAAAAAAGGTAACTCACCCTTCTCAGCTAACCTCCTCCGCTGATGAAGCTCAAACTCCTCCTTATTCCCCGTCTTCTTGACCGTAGCATCGCTGCGCGTGCGCGCAAGCGCAACCTGTATCGGCTTCTCGAAGAGCTCGAAGCCCTGTACTTCTTCTACGGCCTGAAGAGCCGACTCGGGGCGGTCATAGACGATGAACGCCTGGCCCTTGGCTTTAAGGTTCCGCTTCGCAACGATATCAATTATATTTCCGTACTCCGAGAACACGACCGATAGCGCCTCCTTGAGGGCCTCGGGCTTGACGCGCTCCTCGAGGTTCCGCACATACACGCTGTAGCATTTATGTTAGTCAAATCAGAACGGCAGCGCGTGGGCAAAACGCGACCGGGGGAAAACTGTATGTGTCGGAGTGCAATGACACATACGTAGAAATAGACGGGCCTGAAGCCATATTGTGTGATGAATGAGTTCTTCTCTAGGTAATATTAAGTAGAGAAAGTTATCACTTTGATAGAAGCGTTTTTACGACTTTGTAGTTGTCTTGGGACAAAGCGAATCGATATGGAAAGCTACAATTGATGTAGTTATTAGCTTGAAACTTATCGATAATGCATGCAATATGCATAAAAATATTGAATGGGTCCACTTTATGTACTTGGTCTGCCAGCTGCCAGCTGCCAGCAACGAAGTGTCAGTGGCAACTTTAGCCCCTATTTAACAAGGCAGCTATAAAGAGGTAGATGGAGATGGAAATCAAAATCACTGCTCACTTCCTCTTATTTGGTTAGGTACCTACCTCTTATAAGACACCAACTACACCGTTTTATAAAAATCATATCAGCTTTTTAAATATGAACATACTAATTTGTTTACCGTATTGAAGGCTCTGATTATATGTAGGTAGGTATTGTCCGCATCATAGGTAAGTCTACCCTTCTAAGTCGTTTTATTATACAGTCCATCAGATCGACGTGCTCTATTATAGCAATGTGCTAGACACGTAATCGATGGTTCTTAGCCTTTGTCCTCTCAGCTATGGATATCTCTCGACCAGTATCTAAGCTGTCGCAACTTCCTCCTGGCTATTACTTTTCTCTTCGGCCGGCTGCTCTTTAACTGGCTCTCCTGTGGTATGTTGCTTCTCCTCTGACAAGGGCTCCGGTTCTTCTAGTGCCAGTTCGTTGCGCAGATCCGGCAGGAAACGGTCTATTCTTTTCCATGTTTCCACCCATAAGTTCTCCTGTGATGGGTCCTTGCTCGGAGGAACAAGGTATCCGCTACTCGACATGAATAATAGTACATTTTTCAGATTCTCAGGGACAGCCTCCTCCTAAACATTGTATTAGTATAGTTAAAGATGGGACAGATAATATTGGCAGCTGCTTACCAAACTATCGCCTTGACCACTATTCATCAACCTATCCATGATATCGATTATTTTCAACCACAGATCCAGCATGCCATCCCATTTGGAGAGAAGTACGAGATACTGCAAGAATGTCTTGCAAAGAAGAGACGCGACTTGCACCCTTGTCTCGCTCATGCCATCTCTATCGGAAGAATATACTTCTGGCTTCAAGAGCCTCAAGATGAGAGGGAACAACACCTCGCCAAAAATGGCCGTCCATTCTTTGTGGTCGCTACATGTCAACTCGGGCGACAGGAGCGATCTCTGAAGTGACGAAAATGCCAGAGACCGCACCTCACGGCACGGATTGGTACACTGTGTCGTTAGCGTTTTGAAAATAGGTAGCCAATATGCCGACCACGCTGCAAGGCAATTAGTAAAAAAACTATGAGTATATATAAAGACACTTACCCTCGCTATTCTCAAGATGTGATTGTTTCATCAAGTGAGGAATACGAGCAGTCATGCTAGATATAAGATTGACGGCTTTTACGCCCCGCGCAACTATGGCATTATCACTAGAATCACCAGTTAGATAATCGATAAAATGCAAAGCAACGAAAAACATACCTTGAGGCCTCCTTTTTTGGTGGTCGAGCGTTCCTCTGCCTCCTTTCGCCCTTCTGCTGCACAACTGCGCCGACTTTAGCGGCGGTAGCATACTCATTGAGCAGGGAAATTGCAGCCTCGTAGTTATCTGCGATAATTGCTGATGGAGAACCTGACACTCCACCTTCGAGGATCTCGAAGACGGTAGAAGATGCGTTGGGGTTACCAGCAAGGGTACGTAGGATGAGCCAGAAATCAGGCGAAGTCATAATCTCGCTTCGCAGAGGCCCTGGTTGATCTATGCAGAGCTTCAGTCCTTGCAGAACCAACTGCGACGTCTTCACAAGGGTCTCTTTAGGGAAACTAGATATAGCGTGGAGCAGTACAGGTGCTCGTACAAAATCATGATCCTAGACTGTCAGCATAAGTGCATCCAATCAAACTTTGGGGTGCTACTTACATAGCTAGCCTTTAATATGCTAAATTGATAGAAAGCTGCTCGCGAAACGAGGATAGGGTGGTGTTGAGGGGAGTCACGCAATATCATCTGCAAAGCTTCTGCAACAGGTTTGCCAAGATGTTCAACCGTCTCGTTATCTCTCAATGAAAGCACGGTACAGAATTCTAGGATGTATACTACTGCAGGATCATAAGTAGGCTTCTTGGAAGGGGTTTTAGATCCGCTGGTGGGTGAAGAAGGGAGACTCTCTGCTTTCACTGTAATAACAGGTACAGCCGAACTTTCGTCATCGGGCAATTCGTCCAAAAGAGCTTCGAGAAGTGGTGATAAAGAATCTGCTGAAAGGGCCCTAGGTTTGGTTAGTAGTGCGTAAACTATAGAATCCTTAATAACTTACGAGATATTCGCGAAGACGCTTTCTAGATCACAGGCTTTGATGCAATCAACTGTGCTTAACGAACTTTCGACCTCTTCGGCAGACGGCTCCGGCGGATCGTCAGCTGCATAGCTAGAGATGTACGAAGACAAGACCGACATGAGGCCTGTGTCGGCAGTTTTCGCCCGCTCGATCAATGACTTGAGAAGGGGTATGAACTGGAATTTTGGGAAGATTTAGTTTCTCGAAATTTTTATTAAAGAACGACGAGGGTATAAGGGAGTTGACGAATAGTTTCAACCAAATGCGAATAATCTAAACTGGTTAGCTTAACTTGAGTCAGGTTGTGTCAGAAACTTACATGTTGCCAACCCTTGCGGATGACTTCTTCACTCCCCTTTACAACACGGAATAGAACGAGTGTGGCAAGCTGCGCTTTGAAGTCCCTGCCGAGCTTAACGGCGAGTTCGCTAACCATAACGCTATCGCTATCATCCGATACCTTTACTTCCGTGTTGAGAGCTGTGCTTGATAAACCATCGGTATCTAACGTAGTCATATAGCTAAGATTCTGGATAATACGATCTAATGCTTCTGTGATACCATATCTAGACGCAATCTGCGCGCATTGATCGAACCCCGTAACTATCCGGGAAAATACAGCGTCATCAGTTGCCGACATGAATACATACGATAACGTTGAGACAATCGGTTTCCATGTTGTGGCAAACATATCGGCGTCGTAGATGTTAGTATCACAAAGTACCAACGGGCCGGCGGATTCACTTTTGATGAGTAGTTCTCGCCATGCATAGTCAAAGGCGTGCTGGTTATCATGTTCGTCTGGAAGAATAATCTCGTCGGACTTGATGGCCTCGAAAGTTAGTTCGAGGTATTCGGGAGGGAAATCATTAGATCCGTTAACGCCGCGTAAGTTGCGTGCGAAATCTAAGAGCTCCATGCGTTTCGAGCCCTTGAGCTTTGGACTGTGCTGATCAACATTTAGCATGATGATAGCGTATGTAAGAATAAACACAGCATCCTCGCTTGCAACAATATCGGAGCCTGAAGTTGCAAAGTACTTCTTCGCGAAGGCAGTCACTATTCGCTCGATAAGCGGTGACTCGCCAGGGAGTCGGAAACTCTCGAGAAGAAGTCGCACTGCTTCGTCGACACGCTTGCCGGAGAAATCGAAAATCCAAAAAGGCATTAAGGTATTCATCATTGCCCCTTTTCGATATAAATTCGCCAATGACCGCCTTGGAAACTCGGGACGTACTTCGGAAAAATCGAGCAGCTGATGATGGGTCATCAGTAATAATCTTTTGCTCCTTAAGATATCCTAGGCCTTCCTTTGGTTTTTCATTAAACTTAGTCGCGCCCTTAATAATAACCTTCTTCCTTCGTCTTTCTTCTCGGAGGGTCGCTTGATCTGGTAACCCATCTGATACTGGCTCTTCGTCAAGACGATCGGCTATGGACTGGACGAAGCCAAGAAGTGCGTCCAGACAAAGCGGTGGTACGCTAGTTGTGCTCCAGGTTGCAGAGTCAGGCAGAGCACTTCTCGAAAGCAATCCAATCATGTCTTCGCATAGATTTCCACGATTCGCGTCAGAGTCATAGTTAACAAATAATTCAACTAAGAACGTCGGCATTCGGGTGAGAGCCCCGATGCTTTCAACCATGGCTTGACGAGCATCCGGTTTTCGTGCACCACCTTCCATACCTAACTTCTGCCGGTCCTTAACCGGCACCGGTGTCGACCTGCCACTACCCGCTTGTGACGGAGGTGGTTTTACTCCACTTGGCCTTTGCGGAATTCCATCATAAAGCGAAGGATCGATATTCTCCTCGCGAGGTATTTCGACCGGTGGGTGTAAACACGCGATAAGGTAAGATAAGAAGAGTTCCTGTTGTAGTTTCAAGACCCCTCGGCAAGTCTCAAGTAGTGTCCCGGCTACAATTAGAGATTCTTGGAGAATAGCCATGTTATCGGATCGGACGAGTTGAAACAAGTGTCGACATAACCGATCTTCAGCGACGACGGCTAAAGCTGGGTGTCTCGCTATAGACGGTCCGGCAACTTCTAAGGCAACGTGAATAATACGTAGCGCCATGACTCTCATTGTATCTCCTTGCTGCTTGTCGTGGGGATCTAATAAGTCTACGAGAACCCTGAACAATTCCTTCATAGACGGTAATGAGTAGGGTTTGATATCGAGAGAATCGTCGGGTTCTGAGGGTTCTATCACGGGCCTTTCTTCTACATTATGAGGAGTACTCTCCGATCCCGACGAGTCTCGCGGTTCGCCACCAGGAGCATCAGAAGACGCAATGACGTTGTTTCCATTAGTCGAAGGGACCATTTTTACGCCTTCCATATCCCCGTTCGCCTGGTGATCTAGGGCCTCTAAGTCATCACCAGCTTCGACTTCTAGATATTTAAGATGCTCGAAAATGATCTGGCACATACGGACCATAGCCGCTTCGGCCGTCCTTCGGAGGAGCTCAGATAATCGAGACTGGCAGCACATAGTTAAGCCGGTCTCCATCATTTCGCAAACACTCTCGTCGCTTAACAACTCGCCGCCCGGGCCAGACAACATATCCTCCATCAGGTGCAAGATCATGAGCAGAACAACCTCGTCTTGAGCAGAGTCGCTCGCTTCAAAGCGGCAATGGGTTATTGCTGTCGACAAGGATTGCATGGCGAGTGGGAATCGTGGAGAACTGGGGTTTATGAACCCATAAGAGAGGAATTTCCGAATCGCTTTTAGTGCTAAGATAGTTATAGGAGCAGAGGTCGAGGAGGCCTGTATCACTTGGAGGAACGGGTTGAGTAACGCTGGGGCATCGAACTTGTGGATATCTAAAACATGTGTTAAAAAGTCCCCTGCTACATATCGTATAGATCTTTCATATTACCTTTGCAGTTTGATAGTTCATGACGAAGACGACCAAAGCCAGCCATCAGGGGATTATCCTGCATGCTCTTACCCTTCTTTCCCCGCAAACCCCACCTGTTCGCGATAGCAAAGTCCTGCGCACCATCAACTCCCGGGCTTGCCATAGAGCTTTTGCTTCCCGGCCTCAAGAGAGGGCTAGGTGGGCCTAACTGAACAGGATTAGGGTTGCCACCCAGTATAGAGGATACCGACGAGCCCGCCCATCGAGCATGCTTTCGCATGGCAGAAGAGACCGATATGCATTCTGATATGACCAAGGAAGCTGGGTCAACAGCTACTGTTACCGGTCGACTTCGAAAGTGCGCGTTGGGTACCTGAATATCGGTATTCACAGCCTTGTTCCTCATTGCGCTTTGGGGTAGCGGGAAACCCAAGCTACTCGACTCGGGCGCAAGCTCTTGTTCCATGTTGTTTTACTCAGTTGCTCATCTCGACTCATTCTCGCCTAAAGAGGCGACACTTGGTTCAGAAGTAATACGTGGCAAATTAAGGGCGGTCGTCGATATTGTCGCCGTCGCGCAATAGGATATTAGGAGTCGACAAGGCCAGTGTAAATCGACTCGACTCGACTCGACTCGATACTGGGAATACGGAAGTGAAATTCGAAAGATCTGCCTATAAGTCTAAGTCGCTAAACACCAAAGAGTCCAGACCCCTTCTCATTGTCCAATTACGTTTAACACGTAGACGTGAACAATATGAACAAGCTGTCTGAGTCGTGAATTGTATGTAAAAGGTACCTAAGTAACAGTTTTATCAGTTACTCGAACCTAAACTTATCGCATCCAACGGCAGGGCCCCGTCCTTAGAAATCTTGCACGTGCCGAGAAGCTGTTGTCAGCTGTAAGGTAATCGGTAGGCGTTTATCCGATTGTGACAGCGTGGCGGGAACCCTGAATGCCCAGACCTTTAGGTCCAGGTACATTTAAATGCCGGTTGTACTTACATGCAAAGTATCTTATCTTCAACTTCCAATATTTATAAGACGTTAGGTTAGAGGTAGACTTGATGATTTCAGCAAGGCATGGAACTCAATACATTTAAATCGCTTTATTATAGTAGTATTATCATTTCAATTATTTCTATTACAATTAGGTATTTTCGTGACAGCCTAAATAAGACATCACTCATTACTCAACAAGATAACGCTAGGGGCAACTTGAACAAGAATATCTACTAATAAAGTAATATAGCCTCAAGGCCAATCTATACAATAAACAACGCGGTCCCGTTGCCGCGCTTGAAAATATCCCATGCTTCGTAATCATGCATCGGATACGACCAAAACGCCAGTGCCATGATCCTCGACATGGTCCTTGCTATTGTACAAGCGACCAGATGATCACATGTGTGCGCCCCTATCCTTCCCCTTTGCCCCAAATGAACTTTTTTTTTTCTTTCCCACACGCCTAATGCATAGTGAGTCCGGAAGTGCGACGTGAAGCCTCACTACAACCCAAGGCCATCAGTCATTATATCCTAGATATCATTTTCTTAGGCCTCTACCCTAAATTGGTTATTTGGCTTTTCCCCAACCTTGTCCTCTGCTGCTTTCGAGTCTTGACTTGACCCTTGTTGACTCTCGGATTCCCGCTCTTTTTGCGCCTCCTTAGCCAAGTTTTGTATTTCTGATTTATCTTGCTCCCATTGAGCATTAGTGTCACTAAACTGTTCTTTGACCTTCTTCTCCCGTTCCTGCTTTTCTTTCTCTTCGGCCTCCTTAGCCTGGCGCTCTGTCTCCATTTCCTAATCTTGAATTAGTATGTATTTCAAGTACAATTGTTAAAATTCGACTTACCTCCATGTGCCGAATATCGTCTACGCTAGGCTCGTACAAATGCCAAATTGTGTAATGAGGAAGACCAACCACGGAGAATTGCATGCGTTTAGCCATCTAAATCCACCATTAGCGTTAATTTATATATCAATGAAATGGGTATTACCTTGCCGAATCCTTCAGTTTCTGCGTGTTTTTCAAAACTGAAGGCAGGGAAATGAACACCCGACCTGAAAACTCTGGCCTTAGCCAAAATACTAACACCACCCACACCGTCAATTTCCATTTCCATATCCGGGTCACCATAGGGATCGCGAAGGTAAGCCAGATGAGGTCTCCAAGTAGCATATTCAGCATATCCTTCCACGATCACGGCATCTTCATCGAGAGTGTCGGCAAGAGCCAATGCTGTTTCTGACTCCTGCCACGAATTCAAATCGTAGGGCTGCTCACCACCAAGCCAATCAGGAAGCGGTCGCCAGACGTCTGTATCACTGTCAGTAGTGGAAGGGGAAAAGTGGCATATTACAAGAAGGCTTACTCGGTACGATAACATCCTTATTATGACGCATCAAGTCCTCCAGGATGGTAAACGGTGCGGTCTCCACGTCAACATCTCTCCAATAAACCCACGAATGATACGGACGGAGAGTCGCGCTCAAAAGCCAGTTACGTGCCTGTGCCATCAACTTCCGGCGACTTGCCTGCGCAGCAAAACCGTGACGACTCTCAACATCCTGGTTGACTTTCTGGCCGAAGTCCTTTTCGATGATCGATATTTCTCCATAGGGCTGTTTCGGGTCTTCACTGGCTTGTAACGCTTCCAGCTTCTCTACAAGCACTTCTAACGTTCTATCCTTCGAATCGGAAACGAGGAAAGCGAGGTCGATAAGATGATGGGGGTATGTGAAGTTGCGGAGGTGCGAGAACATCATATTAAGATGGGGTTCGGCCGTCTCGTAATGGAACACACAGGAGGATACGTCTTCTCTTTCCCAACCACGAGCGGTGCCCTGAACGTTCGAGAGATCATAGTAGCGCACGGTATCCATTAACACATCACCACTTGAACTAAGAAGACCTAGAGAGAATAGAGAAGTAAACGATCCACTCCCTGGCCGAATAAAGAACCAAATCAATACGATAACAACAACAATTATGCCTAATCGCGTCAGTAGACTTCTTCGTCGACGAGCGGCAGGTGTCGAGGCGCGGGGTTGAAATCTGGCAAAGGATATCTCGGTTAGAAAGGAATTTATATTACACATTATTTAAACTTGAGGACAATGCCACGTTGAGGCCGGAAAGGGTCCACCAACCTATGGGGAGAGATGTCGAAAGTGTTGGTATTGCGTGGATAGCCATTGGAAAATCCAGCGGAATGATGCCGGGGCATCATCTTGGAACTGGTCGAGGATGCATACGAGGGTAACATTCGAAATACGTGAACGACCAAGCAGACGATAACAATGCGCGCAAAGAGTTACTCGAGATTGTAGTGAACGGTACGACCCTTATTTCGAGACAGGCGCCGTTAGGGGCTGGAGTCTTAGGCGCGCAGAGAAGCTCTTATAAATTCATGAGTGAAGATATGACCATTCAGGTTTGGAAGTTGGAAGATCTAGGTCAGAATTGACTAGATAAAAGATGAGGGTACTAGGATCAATTCACGTCGTCGTCGTCGTCGTCGTCGCCGTCAAATACATGTCAATGAAATGCAACGACAGTACGAGGTTACAGGGCGAAATAATTAAAAAGGTGTCGAGTTCGGAAACCTGCTAATTGCGCTAACGTCTATCGCCCAAATTAGAACACTGATAAGCATATAAACAGAGTAGAAGAAGCCTTGCCAAGACAGGCTAGTCAATTATCGAAGCGGTTTCAGATTTAGTCTGTCTCTAGATTCGTGCACGGTCTATTTTATTAGCTAATGGGCGGGATTTCAGAATATTTCTTCGTAAAAGAGTTGTAAGCCGGTAAATATCAACACGATGCCACGCCCCTATCTTTGAACAAATATCTATAAAATAAAAAAACCCTTTTCTGTTACTCCCCATAAAAGAATTTCATATCAAATTATACTATACACCTTGTCATATAGAGAAAAAACGTGTTTGAACACAAACATTTATCAGTTATCGTCTTTTCTCATAACACCCTTCACTCCCTTTTCCCATATGAAAGTTACTAAGTTACCGAAAACACATTCCTCACGAATTACATAAGAATAATAGTCCTACGAAAGAAGAAGTATGTTCCAAAAAGTAAATCCTCTTCATAAGTGCAATATCCTAGGACTTGGTAATATCCCACACCCTATCTTTACTGCCGTATATATCCTTTACTCCCTAATACGTACCACACACAAGTATAACTCTGTTGATAATTTCCTTGCTAGTATGAGCACATAGTGAACCACGCATCTCTAGGAAACCTCACATACAAGCAGATATCATCTAGTTATAGCGCTTAGTATCTCATGTTTCTCGGCACGGACTCGCCGCATGACAAAATATCAATGAACGCCTCCCAATAAGCTCGAGAATAATATCTCCCAAGAAAAGCCCCCATGTTATGTGTAACCACCTTTTTTAGTGGCAAAGTAGCGAACGAATCCTTCATCTCTCTAAATTACATAATTTACAACCTTAGTATCTTTTCAATGTTCGTCGGTGAGAGATTCGTGGTAGGCAAAGTTTTGGAACGATTGAGCTTTTTTTCTTCCAAACCTTTCTATCATCTGTTGTGCTCTTCGTTCTGCTACTGTCAATCTATTCCGACTGAATGTGCCAAAAGTTAGGAGGATGGCAACAGCTCCAATAATTGTGCATACACGCATGTCTTCCTTGAACGCACCCGCGTACGCCAGTATAGTGGCCTCTAGCTGAGCCTCCTGTTGAGATTCGTTGCCACTTTCAAACAACAGAACCTCGCCGAGTTGACCAGGGCCGCTCTGTTCTTGAAGCTTAACACCTAAGATGGCCGAAGAGGCTGCAATGCCTATACTACCTCCCAAAACTCGAACTTGGGCCATCAAACCCTGTGCAGGGGCTGTCATGTGGTTAAAACCAGCCTCGGGGAGGGTTTAATAGGTGGGAAACTTACCATGATCTCTGTCTGATGAGTGAAAGGTCGCCACCATTGTTGCTGTTGATACAACCATTCCAAAGCCAAGGCCAACAAAAACCAGAAATCCCAAGGCTTTCTGTTCAAAGTCAGGCGAGTTTGAAAGAGTTGATAGAAGTCCGCAACCTAGAACTACCAGAGAGGTAGCAACGAACAATGTCTCAAATATTCTGTCTTTCTTTCCGTTAAGTGCCCCTGCGACAAGAGAGCCCACGGCGCTTGATCCTAGCATCGGAAGCAGCATAACGCCAGCAAGAAGGGCACTCTTGTCGTTCACTACCTGTAACCTAATTGGAAATGCGTATATAACAAGCATATAAGGAAATCCCAGGAATAAGGTGTTCAGAACCGCTGCTGTGTACACACGGTCACGCAGCAAACGCATAGGGATCGCTGCGTCTATAACATCGTCGAACTGCCGATCAATGAAGACGGACCATGCGAACAGTCCCAACCATGAAATTATTCCGATGATAAGCGGGGCGATGAATACGGGCTTCGACCACTGATCTCCCATCATGGCAGCATTCTGAAATGGGAAGACAACTAATACGGCAGCTGCAATTAGAAGCATCGAGCCGACATAGTCCAATTCCCTCCAAGATCTTCTACCAGAATTAGGTAAATACTGTGACGCCGGCCAGGTAAAGTAGAACAAGAGAATCGACACTGCGCCAATAGGCCCACTGGATATTCCATTAGTAGGTAGGTTTGGATAGCCCGACGACTAGAGAAACGCACTTGATCCAGAATACCCATCGCCAAGTTGTATACTCGGTTAATACGCCGCCCAGGACCGGTCCTAGGACACTCGACATAGTAATCACGATCCCGACTAGACCTCCAATAAACCGTTTTATTCTCTCTGGCGCAACTTCGGGGAGGATTATCATCGTGATGGAATACAACCCTTTCGAAAGTTAGTCGTTCTGTGCTAATCGTATAGGTTGTCACTCACCTGAACCACCAAGTCCTTGCAAAGCTCGACATGCTATCAGCTGAACCAGATTTTGGGCGAAACCACACGCAATTGAAAATGTAATGAATATGAGATAGGATGCGATGAAGGCATTTCGACGGCCGATTATATCCGAAATCCGAGCTAACAAAGAAGCACATCCAAGATACACCAAAGAATAGGCCAAGGCGACCCAGTTTATAGATGCCAAATCACCAAACTCGGTCCCTATCGCAAAGATGCTCGTGGCGACGATTGATGTATCGAGAAATGACAGAAGTAAACCCACAAGGAGCCTAGTTCTATGTTAGATGAGCGGTTACATGCTGGTTGATGTCCCAACCTACCCAATACTGAATAACCAAAAGCGTAGCAGAGGTAATTCTGGACGAGCAATCTGAAGCTCTAGACTTGAATAGCTCGACACAGGAGCAAGAGTTTCGGTGTCTTCGCTTCTGTTCGTGGGACTCGCATATAGCTCCATGGCAATATACTTGGTGTGTTTTGCCATGTTTCCTTCGCAACGTGGGAGCACTTCGCCTTTATCAAAGAGTTCGAACAAAGAAATACTATACTCGAGGTATACGGTGCTACTATCCCCACCTACTCTTAGATACACATGTATCACTCTTATAGGCCGTCAATAAGTGAGGTAGGCAGTTACGTCGATAGAGAGGTGTGTGCTACGCATCTTAAGTATAGAAACCCGAGTGCCCGATCGGTCGAGGTGGATACTAGAGAGTAGAAAGGTCCAAACAGCGCTTCCTGCAGCCGTCTTTGCTTTTCGCGTTGATCCCACTTACACGCCTACCGAGACAACGTTTCTATGGAACCCCGGCAGTGTCGCTCACGTTTGCTTGCAGCAGTGTACAACTCCAGCCCCACCTGATCCCATTTCGAGATATCCTGGGGTAACCAGTTCCAGTCTGTTGGTAACATCGTACCCCTTAGACGTCTCACATGGCCGTATTAATCCCACTGGGGTATCGTCGGTTCATACTAGTAGTCTTGACTAGACTTATCTTGGAAAATAATCACCCATATATCCTGTGGCTGTGAACAGGAGTCCTTGGTTGCCTATAATCTATAGGTAGTAGTTAAAGGGCGGTTCTTAAGTAGGTTTGATAATTGGCGCTTACTTGCGTCTTCCAATGTAGTTATTTATATATAATGCTACGTACACTGTCACCATGCTACTAGTTAGAGGTCAGTACACAGAGTGAGATTTCTCAGGTAAATGAAAACGATTCACAAAGTCTTTGTCACCTTCTGACATCCCTCACTCGGGATTTGCCCCAGGCTCACACAGCATTTCGGCACCGTTGTATTAGTCACGCACTAGCGATGAGTACAACAATGCCAAGCGTTTCCAATGGATCCGCAAGTTTATATTTACTTCATCAAGTTCCACCCGTTTCACTCGACATTCTGATTCTGTCTTCCCGTACGCAGACCTGAATCATCTCAACAGAACTCAGAGAGTGAGGTTTGAGAAACACTGTTTAAGCTTGCTTCACGGTTGTGTTCTGTGAAGATATTACTCATCTGACAATTCTATATACCCAAAGGCTGTCGGCCTATCATATTCGCCATATTGAGTAAGCTGCGAAAAGAAGAAAAAGAATTTGTGTCATTTTACAGTTGCTAAATCGTCATATCTCGAAACCTAATCGATTGTTGACTTAAGGCAACATGAGTTCTCGGACCGGTTGCAAGGTTACCTCTACAGACCCTATTAGAGGCCAGGCGTAGTCTAATAATTTCTTATTCTTTATGATAGGAACCAGTCTTATTTCTCTTTATCAATGGAGGCCTTACCCCGACAATTCGATAGTCGTATTTCAAATTAATTTTGAGTGCTAAATACATAGATATTTTTATCGCAGACTTTCTATTAATATCTAACCTAATACCACTGCCACGGGTCACGGAATTACCCAAAGTGATATACTACCTGACGCAGGGCTTTCTATTCCGAGGTACAAGGCTGTGGCAATGCCAACTAGCCGCCAACTTTTTCCAATTCTGACCTATCATCTCTCTTTTAACAAGCTCAACCCTAAATAGATCGTCTTCAAGCCTCTTTTTATATCCCTTGCATAAGCCACGATATGTAGATAGAGTGATGTTGGTTTGTAGTGGTTCATTTTGCGGCTACGGCCATTTGGCCGTGCAGATCAGCCGCTAAGATCTACTAGGTGCTTAATACTAGAGATGATTCGTTAGGAAGATAGCATCTGGCTTTGCCACTGCTTAGATATTATGCATGCCACCTAACAGATACCTCTATATCCAAGTTAAAAAATAAATTGATATTATCTCGTACTTTTTCTATAACACTGGTCAGCTGTCACACGCCACCAGAAAGCATTTGATACTCTTATCTTATTTCTTTCGGGAGATACTAGCAGTAACAAACACTGTTACGTACAATGAAAAGTTTCAATATTCGGATTTTTAATAATACCTAGGTCCTAGGCATATCGGAGCACATGAAAGAGTTCTTCCACATATATGAATAGGGGCTGTAGTAATCGTAGAGGTACCTAGTACATAGATCCGCATACATTTTATATAGAGCAAGCAACTTGGAGTACGTACCTTAAGTATCCATTTAAACTCTGGAATGGACGTCTTTAATTGGACCAAGCTCACTGCTTGGCAACAGCCGTCATAACTTCCAGGAACTGCCTGGCAGCCGTGCAGCTGCCATGCGGCTGAACCCCACTAGCCACCCGCTCTGCCACTGCATCACTGTCCGTGCCACTGTGCCACTGTGCCACCTCGTGAACATTAAACCTTACAAACATTCACCAAGTCACATTTACTTAACATAACGAACAGTTAGAAGACCGAGTTTATATTATTTGGGAGCTTTAGTTCAACTGTATCTTATCAAGAGAAATATATTCAAGTCTCAAAGTTGCCCCAACGTTTCAGGTTATTGGCCGGTGCAGTCGGTCGGACGATTTTCACATCAGCGGACCGCCCCGGAAATCGGTAAAGATGACTGAGATCGTGACAAGCCAAACCCCTCCTATTCTGCACGGGCCGACGGAGAAGGAGAAGAAGTATGACAGACAGCTTAGACTATGGGCCGCTAGTGGTCAAGCCGCTCTTGAATCAGCCAATATTCTCCTCGTGAACTCTGGTGCTGGCACTGTGGGTATAGAGACACTAAAGAATCTTGTCTTACCAGGTATATCTTATATCTCATACTCAACTCACTCTCTCGGACTTAAGCTTATTATGAAAATATAGGTATAGGAAAGTTCACGATAGCAGATGATGCTACAGTGAACGAGGCTGATTTAGGAGTCAACTTCTTTCTTGACGAGAGTTGCTTGGGAAAGCTTAGGTCAGAATGCTGTACGAAGCTACTCCAGGAGCTCAACCCAGAGGTCCAGGGGGAATGGTTTCCAAAGGAAAAGGTGCGTAATATGTACCCGGTAGACTAAGATAGCAGTGCTAATATGATGACATAAGGGTATCCTGGATCTACGCAGCGCTCTTGAGTCTTCATCTACCTTCACTCTTATTATGTATACGAATCCTATTAAAAAGGAACTTCTTTCGATAATCCAGTCCTATGCTAGTCAGCATAAGACTCCGCTAGTGGCGATTCATTCTGCTGGGTTCTATTCTTATTTTCGTATCAGTCTTCCGGGACCCTTTCCAATAGTCGACACTCACCCCGAGGTAGACAAGACAACGGATCTTCGACTCCTGAATCCCTGGCCTGAGCTTATCGAGTTTTCTCGAGATATGACGAAGGACATCGATGCTCTGGATGATCATGAACACGGACATTTGCCGTATGTTGTCATACTGCTCCACTACCTTGAGGAATGGAGACAATCACATAACGGCCAGAACCCTACCAGCTACAATGATAAGACGGCATTTAACAAGTTTGTCCTGAGCAAGGCAAGGACCAATAATCCAGAGGGTGGGGAGGAGAACTTCCAAGAAGCCGCTACTGCTATCAATAAGAACATCAAGGTTCCCGAATTAGAGCCTGGTGTACAAGAAATCTTTAATCACCAAGTCGCAAATGAGGTATGATCATATGGTGTGTATAGGAAACATTCCGGACTAATGTTGATAGATCGAGCTCCAGTCATCTTTCTGGGTTATCGCAAAGGCGATTGAGGCATTCTACAACAAACATGGTTGTCTCCCCCTGCCTGGGGCATTACCCGATATGAAGGCCCAGTCTACTGTCTATGTCAAACTGCAAAGTATATACAAGGCAAAAGCTCGGCGAGACGCCCAGGAGGTACTGGAAACTGCTAGGGCCTTACCTGGTGGCAAAGATGTTGATCCCGCCGAGGTAGACCTCTTCTGCAAGAACTCTCGATTCGTGAAGCTCATCAATGCAACGCCAACCAGTGAAGATCTCGATGCAATCTTTGGTTAGTGGCAACCCATTTCATGACTTGTTGAAAAGTGGGCTGACCTCCTTTCGATAGACGCTGAGATGATGAACGACGAGGCGGCCGAGGCTATGAAGGTCGAGACCGAGGGGGCATTTACTCTCTCCCATGTCTAATCTCTTCATTTATCTAGCCCTCGTGGCGACTAGCCACAATATTGCGTCTACCGCCGATGAAATCATAAGCTCCATAAGTAATCTATTACCCAAGGCGGCCGGGAACAAGAGAGTGCTAGAAGCTTCTCAGGAGGTAGCACGAGCTGCTGGCGGCGAACTTCACAACATATCCGCCCTAACTGGAGGAATGGTCGCGCAGGAAATTATCAAAATCATCACGAAGCAGTACATCCCAATTGAAAATACCTGCATATTCGACGGCATCAGTAGCCGGTGCCAGGTACTTCGGCTATAGTAGGTGGACCCCAGGAAGGTGACAGCCAGCTAGCAGAAGATATTCCCATAGGCATATCATCCGCAGATCCGGGTTATTCATGGAGAAGTTGGAGAACTTGTGGAGAATCGTGAAAAGCCTGGAAGCTTGGCAAGCCTGACGATACTACATATTCACACCATCTCACCTTCTGGCTGGAGAAGGCGGGGGATATTATTGTCGGACCGTAGACCCTCTGCGGTAACGCCAAACACGATGTACGACAGCTACGAAATGTAGCCTAATCGTACCCTCGGTCAACGATGAATAATTTTAGCTTTGCTGACTGTTACTAGAGAGGCCTATCTAGTTGGATGAAGTCACAACCAGTTACGCTAAACCTGGAGTGCATGTTCGTGCGTAATATCAATCCCCATGAATGGTCGAAGTGACGGTGTGGCTGCCACATGCTTGATATTGGCCACGAAAATTTGGGATACATATGTCCACTCTCCAATACAACTATACAATTCAAATTCCTCTGGATCAGATCTAAGTGGATGTAACTTTCAGGTACGGAAATATTATGAAACGCCAGCTATCTTTCTCCCGGATTTCGCACATAGTATCCCTATTATCCTCCCCTAAGTACAACTCTACCTTTATTAGTGGTCGATCTTTGGCCGTTACATGTAGCGCTGCCCCATAACTTAGACGCTCTACGCATGACAAGGGTAGGTAGTTCTTAAGAGGTAGAATGATTCTTGTCTTCTACCTTGTGTAGCTCATAATTAGGGCATGTAAGTCAAGGCCCTGCTGAGCTAGGAATAGAGCATAAAGGTGTGCAATGCAAGGGTTTCCAGAGTTCTACATCGTTCTACGATGATTGGTTTCTAGTTACGGGACTTTTGATAGGCTCATTAGCTATCTTTTTTTGATTGGAGATGGTTATTCTCGGTCAAAAAAAACCACCAAGCCATGAAGGGATATCGCGCAACATATTAAAAGAGTCAGGTCAGGTGGTGATCTCCTCTTATAAAGTGTACGACAGTGTACGACAGCGTACGAGTCTCTTCAATATAAATAATGTCGTGTTACTCATCTCTAAAGAGGTCGAGAATCTTCGGGAATGGGCACTAAGCCCTTGTGGTGTCCCTTGGGAGACGAAAGAGGAGCGATGGGCAGATTGAGGCGCAACGCCTACCCCAGACGTTCATAGTGCAACTCCATGAAATATAAATCAACGGCGAAATTTAATTTATAGACCAATGAGGCCGAGCCTTCTTGCCATTCTGATTGGTCTCTAGATATTTCTGCATTGTCAGCGAATTGCTCGGTTACCTATCTTATTTAAGTCGTCGGTCACACTAACATGGCCTTGCGTGAACGATGCATAAGCTTGATTAGGTCTAACACGCATTATCTATCCTGTACGTCAAAACTCATAGGCTCGATTTGGATAGCGAGGCACGTGGATGTGTCCGAATTCTGTCCTCATCAGTTAATATCTGTTTATGCTAATCGTGTCCGATATGACTGGCTCCTGACCACTCACGAGCGCAGTTTTCAACCCCAACAGTAAAATTCATCATGAGTATTGAAACTTCATGGAGGAGTTCACACCAAAGCACGGAGCACCCTGATAGACATCGTAGCTAAGAGCCGAGTCTAACCCCTACGGTCACTATTGACAACCCTGTGACCCGTTGTTCACTCGTATAAGCTTCAAGAATCTTCGCTCTACTACTATAGTATACCTGTTAGCGCTGCTGCCCCTGCAAGCGCAAGAGGGCTTTCCAGCTTAACAATTTGAACATATAAATAGTGATGACTTTCCGAACCCGGGCGAGATCGCGTCAACGATGAAGATATATCCTGGAATTTTACATCGGCTTAGGCGTCGACTAATCTTCTTGAACATATGGGGCATTCCCAAGAAGGATCCAAGTACGGGAAGGTGGAGACAAGAATAGACAAGATTAATATGCCGTAGCCTCTAAGATGTCAGAGTCTTGTCATGACATTCTGCGCCAAGAGGTCAAGCAAGGAGAGTATTTCGCTTTCACTCGGTTTTGCCTCACTACTTGCATCACTAGATATCTAAGTCTATCTGAAAATGTCGCCTAAGTGCTTAAGCGAGTGGCGTTTCAATATAACCATCAATGTCAGGTGTTGCTTTCAAGTTCACTGCACTCCACACTCCTGCTGTACAACGATGAAAAGAGTTGCAGGTATCCAGCCGACATGAGTGTGGGGTAAAATCGACGAGCTTGGCAGCAGCACTATGCCAGGAACTGAACCTGAATAGGACGTAGAAAAAAAAAGCTTGCAGGGAAACATTGTCATGGGCGATCCGGAGAGAATCGTGCAGGGACCCGGGACTTGAACAAACTTTTCACAGGGCTTCTAAATGTTTATTGGCGGGGCCCTGAGAGACATCTCGAAGATGTTCGGACAACTTTTCATCGATCGCATTACATGGCACCTCATTTCCTCATCTGAGTCGGGCTGGCCCGGATTTGGTGCAGAGATCTCGATAGGTGATCATTCGTGAATGGGATGATGTGCTGAACATTTCCAATCCTATTGTGTTATGATCGTAGAAAAATTGGGGTTGTAGTAACTTTGTAACTTAACAAGTCGAGTTGAGGGGATCGTGAACAATGGGTCAACTTCACGATGGGTGTTTTTCTTGAGCGGGACTGTGATGTACCTACATGCTCCAAGACGTCGCCAAGACATGAAGAATCGTAACTGCGTACCGCTCTCCCGAGACTAACTACCTTACGTTAGCAAAGTGTGTTGCTCGAGGGAGTCAGCCAATCTTATGTTAGCTCTTCAGTTCTCCGCCCCGGCATCGCGGAATTTCTGCATCGGCTTTCCCGCCCCTGATCTCGTCTCTCTTTAAGGCGTTAAAAGACGACGATCTAAATGTGTAAGTTATTGTTAAAGGTATAGGTTAGTATACTGCGATAATACGAAGCCGCCAGAGATGCAAGAAAAAAAAATCTCCCGGTTGACAAGTCGCTTACTTATCTTTCCAAGACCTGGGGATACATAGTCGAGGGCGGTTCGTAGTTAGCGATTGTACGTGTAGTGTAGCTCTATACGTATTATTACTATTCATGGTACGAATTATGGGGATCTTTATGAAGTGCACGCATATACGTGCCTATACGTGCCTGGCGTTGGGAGACACTAAGTCGGCGCTTGCTACGTTCTGTATATTAAGTCGAGGTCATGAGTGGTCTGCAGCGGCTTCTCCTTGATAATAGTCCCGGGCCGTGTATGTAAGTTCCAAGACTTACATCCATCGTTCAGTACGCGAAAACTGAGTGAGTACCTATACCCATGTCGTTTGCACGGGTCCGTTTGCCGGTCAAGCCTTTTTACAATGTAGCTAAAAAGGCCGACGACCCCTGCCACGCATCTCCCCTGCCCTAAAGGCTTGGAGGGTGTTAAGTACCATAGTATCGATGGTTAGGAGGTACTAGCAGATCTTGCAGGCCTGCTTATAATCTCCCGTTGTAACCCTTTTACGGGTACATACAAGTTCTGGCCGTTGATCCTGCTTGGAATTCTTTAAGAAAATGGCAGTGATCGCGGGGCCGCCCCTCGACTACGGTTCCCCGTGGCTAAGTAGCAGGGATTCAGGGTGTGTGTGTTCATGGGGAGAGTCTTCTCGAGCCAGTGAAAATCGAACCTAGCCTTCCCCAAATCTAACCCAGTCGCCGCGAAAGGTGCCAGGCTCGGAAATTTCATACGCCAGGAACTGTATGCAAATCAGACAAGCCGCCAAAAAGACACGCCAAAATGTCAACCTTCTAAGTAGCACTATGAAAAAAACCCTTCCAAAATCTTATTTGAAGTTTCCCATCATGCATGAAACTATTACCCCAGTCACATTCCTTATAATGGGAGGCTATTCCATGCCCCCTAGACGCTGTCTGATGCCCTGCACGTCAGTCACTGCTCACATGGCTTTCGGATTATATCTCAACTTGCCGAACGGCATCCATAGCCTGGTCCCGGTATGAATAGTTAGCTGTCCAAGGGCTGAAACACTGACATTTCTACGTTATCCTAAAGCTCTGTTGGTTCAAGCGCCCATCATTTTGAATCGCTACCACTGGCAAAGAGCATGAAGGTGAAAGCTTTTGATGAATGTTACATGCTACTCACTTGGTTAACTCAGATAGATCATGCTATATACTAGATTTGACATGGCAAAATATCATACGTCTACCCCTTGTATATCCTAGATCTAGTATAGATACACCAGATTATATGCCAATCAGCTGTTGAGTGCTGTCGTCCCTTGTGGCAAACGTGTTAATCATTACTCGACAATACGGCATTGATCTCCAGATGCGCGATTCCCTACCTGTCCAAACCTCGATGTTCTCTGGTACGAAAGGCACGTCCCTTGCCATACCTTGCCATACCTTAACATCTAGTCTATAAGTCTAGCCTGCTCGACCTGTCACATCTTATAGGAGGTATGTATGGAGGTGTGGAGGCATACCCGATGCGCTATAGCCTCTCGGTTCCTGATCAAACTAGCAACTTAGAGGCTTGGACAAGGTTGCGTTACTCCACACAATCTATTTACCATCCCTTCATCTCCAGATTCTCCACGCCTCCCCGCCAAAATAGGTTACAAGGCAATATCCTATATAAATCTTCATCGTCTCCCATGTTGTCGGTCCTGGGTCCAAGACGGCTCCCCACATCCCTCAGATTGCTTATAGTGATTTTGAGTCATTATATATCACTTCACTCAAGCTTAGTTTCACATCATCACATCATACATTATCCTCAACTGCTAGACTCCAGCAGGAGTACTTGAGCCAAGATGGCACCAAGTATACCGATTCCCACTCAAGGTGGGATGTTTCATACCTGTAAGTCTTCCTCAATTTTTCCTCTCGAATTTTGCTCATTTATAAGTTTCTAACTTGATACTAGTCCAAGGAGTCACTCCTCGGAAACAGTCCACCGACTCTACGGAGAGTACAAAGTCAAACGGCAGCGGCACAGCTAAACGTATTACTACACCACATGCATGCGCTGAATGCAAGCGTAGGAAGATGTACGCCTCGTGTAACATGACAGAATAAACGAAGAAGTTACTAACACTAAGTCTAGTCGATGTGATGGCCAACAACCATGTGGTCAATGTCTCTCGAGCCGAGCTCCAAAGCGATGCTTTTATGACAAGCACCGCCAAAGAGTAATCCCATCAAGGAAGACTCTTGAAGCATTATCACAATCTTTAGAGGAATGTCGGTCAATTATCAAGCGGCTTTTCCCAAACCACGAAGTTCAGTCGCTTTTACCCTTACCTCGTCATGAGCTACTTAGTCTCCTTGACCGACCGCAAATTGACGCAGCCGTGGGACTTCCATCACCACCGTTACATACTTCTCCTATGCCTGGCGATATTGGATCGCCTTCTCTCTCAGGGTCCGACCAGGGCCTTTCCAGCTTAGAGCAAATGCCATCTCGAGATATCGAATGGGACGAGGAGCGCCGAGGACGAGACCCTATACCCGTCGAGGCAGACGATGTTAATGCTCTTTCTCTATCAGTCGACCGTCAAGCATCATATTTGGGTGCCTCATCCATCAAAGCAGCACTCATGGTGATGCTAAAAGTCCAACCGGGCCTCCGAAGCTCCCTCACACCACCACTCAACAGCGTAGAAATGGCGCACAATCTTCCAATAATGAGACAAAAAGTCACGAATCCTAAAGAGCCTCAACGAGTGCCATGGTCATGGAAAGGCCAAACTTTAATCGACGCCTACTTTAAGCGAGTACACGTATTTGTTCCTATGCTAGATGAGGCTTCATTCCGAGCGGACTACCTCGAAGGACAACGATACGACGCCCCCTGGCTCGCACTTCTTAACATGGTTTTTGCCATGGGATGCATTGCCGCTCTCAAATCCGACGACTATAACCATCTGAACTACTACAGCCGGGCCATGGAATATCTCCCCATGGACTCCTTCGGCAGCAGCCACATCGAAACCGTCCAAGCTCTAGCATTAATAGGAGGATACTACCTACACTACATTAACCGACCTAACATGGCAAACGCCGTCGTTGGTGCTGCTATCAGAATGGCTAGCGCTCTCGGACTTCACCGAGAAAGTTTAGCTCACGGTCCTGCTGGTACGAGCAAGGAAATTGCAGCTGCAGAAACAAGAAGACGTACTTGGTGGAGTTTATTCTGCCTTGATACCTGGGCTACAACTACTATGGGCCGCCCGTCATTCGGCCGATGGGGCCCTGCTATCAACATCCGCCCACCAGAGACTGGCGTCACTTCTGCGCGAGACTCGGCACAGCACGCGGGTATCTTACCTTTGATCGAGAACATCAAGTTCTGTAAAATTGCCACTGCCATCCAGGATATGTTGGCAATTTCCCCCCTACTACGTGCCGAGGACCGTTGCAACCTCGATGGCCAACTGGTTAACTGGTTTAGTAACTTACCTTGGCTACTACGCACCAGTGACCCCTGCGCCGAACCCTTGTACATCGCCCGCTGCATCATGAAGTGGCGCTACCAGAATCTGCGTATGCTACTGCACCGCCCAGTCCTTCTGAATTTAGCCAGCAGTGGCGCATCACACGCTGCTGAGCATGACATCGCCGCCATCGAGGCGTGCCGCGACTTAGCTACAGACCATCGAGGATATTTCCCGTGAGTGGTCGCGCAACCAGATGTCCGGTTGGAACGCTGTCTGGTTCTTGTACCAGGCCGCCATGATCCCGCTCGTATCTATCTTCTGGCAGTGGGATAGCCCCCGCGTGCCTGACTGGCAAAAGCAGATCGAGACCATTCTGGAACTTCTTGAGGCCATGGAAGACTGGTCGCTGGCAGCACGTCGCTCCCGCGAGGTCGTCTGGCGCATGTACGAGGCATCGCGGCAGTTAGAGCCCGCTATTTTAAGGCAGCAAAGTCCCATTCAGAGGCTGCAAGTTGCAACTGATCACGCCGGTATCATGAACCCCATGAGCGACGGCTCGGAAATACACATGTCGCCTATCGGCCTCGAACCCGAGGGCTTCGGTGGCATGATGGGCATGCTGGACCAGCACGGCCTGTGGGACCTAGACGGCATGCTCTGGGGCGCGCCCGACAGATGGAATGGGCACAGCAGCACTTCGGCGGCAACGGCAATATACACGACACGACACGGCCGGTGGCTGCGGGCTAATGGGTCAGCTCGGCGCCTATGGCATCGATAATTCGGCATTTTCATTCGTCCACTAATTACCCCTTTGGGTGATTAATCAATCATGTTGCGTGTACGAGAGACAAGAGACACATGGCTACGCGGCTATTATTACTACTGCTACTATTACGACGATAGGTTGGGGTTGATTTTCTGCACTTCTGGTTGGTTATCCGGGAACGAAGAGACAAAAAACTTTTTCTCTACTCATTTTTTTTTCTTTCTATACTTTGTCAAATTTTAGGGGTCCATGATCGTCATTCACCTCATGCATGTATGTTTCAGCGATGATACCTCTTGACGTTGGATGCGTTCATGGTTGGGTTACAACGAATTCAAAAGGTTAAAAAGGGGGGGGAAGGGACACCGGGCACCTGGCCGGCGGGCAACGTGGTTTTCAAGTAACCCCAAGCTAAATCAGCCCGCTTGAATGGTTCGACGGGAGTCTGGGGATAACTACTACTACAACTGTTGCTACTTAGTACTGTTACGACTACTACGTAATGGGAGGGAATCAAGGAGACAAAAGTTTTTAAATGAGGAATGACCTGTCACGATCTGGAAGAAAACTTGTACGAGACTCGAATACAGACTTACAACAATACTTACATGCATAATACTATTATTAGGAGAACATAAACCCACTAAACATAACCTGAAGTGATTAACTATACAAAAAAAATATAAAGTGCTATACATTAGCGTCTTCTGGGGAAATGGAAGATCCTAAATGGGATTGACATACATCATCACACACATACGTAGTAGACTTGGCATCTTGACGAAGGCCTCCAAGGAACTGAGATCCGAAGGGAGTGGATCCCGTCGACGGAAAGCCGGTAGGTAAAATCAGGAATCTGGGGTAGATGTCGTGAACGCTTACTTACTTAAACCTTATCTGGGCGTGTGCCTGGAGATTGCATGCCTACTTGGTACATCATAGCATGTGGCAGTTCGCCAAGATGGTGGGCTACACGAAGTAGGCATGGCAAAGTAGAGGTTGGAAAAGACTACCCCAACGTAATGGTTCTGTTGACCTAGCCCCTGACTGGGTACCTACCTGGTAACTACCTCTTTTAAGAGTCTTAGCTGTACACTAGGGTATAACATGAAGAGAAACTTGACTACTTGTCATTATAACTTTGATGATGCTAGGTATAAGACGTTGAGTTAAGAACAAATTCCTTGGAAGAGATGAAGTACATAATCTAGAGTAGGAAGACTGACACCTAGCAACGTCAGTATGATTGATGGGTAAGGGGGACTTTCTATTAGTGTTTGCAGCATCTGCATATAACAACCGTCATAATTCCTTGGTATTTTCCTATTCCTGCTAATGACAGCACTGGTTATAGCAACAATCAATATCTATGCATTTCCTAGAATAGCCTCTTGCTGGCCCCCAACTCTCCTCAACACCATTCGCTGAATCGCTATTGTGAGACAGAATGCCTTGCATGTACAAGGGTCGTCCTACAGAATGTTAATAAGCAGTTCAAGATATACTATTGGTTGGTCGGCTTGTTGGCCGTCTGATAACGGGACTGGGGAAATTTATGCCATCGTGATTGGGTGCCGTCTGGGCAAGGGTTATGAATCCTGGTACAATATGGACTTTCGGGCCGCCGTAGACGACCTGGTAATGAGCTTTGTTACAAGGTTACCAGTGAGGTACTTGATACCAAGCCTCTCCCGCCCGGTAACGCTTCCCGAAGTACTGCAAGTTATGATGTTACCCAAGTACCGCTATGTGCTTCCAGGGGTCCCTTGTCTCTCCCCAGCCATTCCCCATCTGGGGTTTAAGTGTTGAGTTGCACAGCGGAAATTCCCGTGCGGGGGAGAGGAAAGAAAAACTTTTTTTTTTCTTCTATGGAATTTCCGGGGTCAGCGCGATTAGAGAGAAAGAGTTCAAACTGAAGAATGACTGCCAGACTGAAGAAACGGGACTCCATCTCGCTAGAGTATTCTTTCCTGAGTTCTCTAGGTCAGAAGACTACTCGCTTGTCAAGGCAAAACAACTTGGCAGCAGTGCCGATGTATGCTAGGTAAGTAGATCTACGATAACCCCTCTCCAACGACACTCCCGTTGTGTTGGAGAACATCGCGATAGGTGATGGAGGGTTGGTAAGAGAGAAGATCACTAGGAGATGAGAGATGCGGGGTAAGGGTCTAGGAGATCGTCGACGAGGATGTCAATCTATGACCCGATCATTCCCTTTGTTCATCTTCTCCCTTTTTTTTCAATCTTCTTTATCAATATACTCCGAAGTCAAAGACGTTATCATACGTCAAGGCAGTTTCGTCTACTTTATTCCTACCTCCATCAGGACTCCTTATTCCACAGTTCCTGTCATCGAGAATATCTACCGACTGCTGTGTCGCGCGAGATTGCAGCGGCAGTCGAGATAATGCCATGTTTAAAGACCGACAGGCAGGGTTGAGAGGCCGCAGGTGCCCGCCCGATGAGAGCTTTCGCTGAAGCGCAACTAGACTTCCAACGGTGCGTCACCATGGCAGGGACCTGCGCTAGATTGAGATTCGAGCTTATCATCTCTCAACTTCCAAGCCTAGGTAATCTAGCCCAGTCGCGATCGATTCGCCACCGCCGCCACATATTTACCTAAATTACATACGTCTGCATTCTACAACGTGACCTGTCTTCAATCTTATGATGACTTCGGGTCTCGATGGGCCTTGGCATATAACCGGAGCTTAAAAGGGACTTATAGGACACCATGAGAAGACTTTCATTACCATCGCGGTGGCACGAATGAAAGGGCACTTTGGAACCTTATGCGATTGTCAGCAGGGGTTATAGCAAGTTGGTGTCGTTAAGAACCAATCGCCACTACACATTTGAACCGTGTTTCGTGTGACTTCAGGTCTGATCGATGGTTGTAATGATGTCTGGTAGCAATTCTTTATCGCATGATGATATAGCCCCCTCGTCTCTAGTGTATACTTTCTAGCCCAGTGAATACATTCGAGAACTATGTACAGAAAGATGGTGTAGTAAAGTCCTCGATTAGGCCCCTCTTCTTGTTCACTTTGTCCCTTTCGGGAAGCGCATAGTCCATAAAGAGACAAGTGAAATAGACTATGTTGAGGTCTAGTTTAGCTTGAATACCATAACTGTGCCTCGCTCTCGCAGGAAATATGTCGCCAACTACATACGTAGCAAAGCTACTAGCCTGGCATACACTGTCTTGTGATTTAATTGAGTACCTGGTGTAGTTCGAGGGACATTGATCTTCGTATCATTGCTATGGATAGGAGGTCTAACCAAATGTAAGTGCAGACATACGACATACCATAATCATCACAATCGTAGTCACTAATCGTTAAGCATCCTTCACGGCCTCACCGAGTATTCGAAGAATCAACCAAGTGGACCGGTGATAGCAGTAGTTGGATGATTTTCAGGGTTTTGACGTTGGGTCGCCAAGAACCTGGCCCAAAGTCGAGCAACTCGAGCCGTGTTTTACTGCAACGTCGAGTTACAGCGTCGAGGATAAAAGCGGAACCTTTATTTCTCTTACTTGTTACAAGCTTTCTTGATATCTAAAGAAGTCTGGGGCCCCTGCTTGTACGCTGCGATGAATGCCACAGCTGGATAGCCTTTTACCTCGAAAAAGCTCTTTTGCCCTTGTCATGGTAGCATTCCAGCCCGTCTCTACGTGCGAGTACGAACACGTTGTTCCCCAACTGTTTTTGTCAGTGCGCAACCAAAGAAACGTTTAACCTAACCTAGTCGATTGCTAGTGATTCATGGGTCTTGTTTAGATGTTCGAGAATTGGAGTTAAGAAACCGGGGTTAAGAGTTCTCCAACGTTGAAGCTTTTGATCCTCCTGGATCTTCGGAAAATCATCCCCTTCGCCGGGACTATAACTCCATGCCGACGTTCCCTCACGTACTTCATAATGGTGTGCCTTTCGGCCCATGAAGTAACATAACGACAGCACGGGTGACGATCATGATCTTAGACGACCTTGGATTGATATGATAAGCTCCTCCCACTGACGTTGATAGTTTCGGTAAAGAATCTTTCTGTAAATTTGTCCGTTGCGCATCTGAGTGAAACCGTTCCATCATGCTAATTTTTTCCGCCAACAGTCTCAACAATGATCAGTTGTCTCGAATCAAGTACTTCCAACTGCATGCCGAGGAATTCTAATTGTGTAGCATACGATCTATTTAATGGTCGTTTTCTGTGTTACCACGGCTTGCCCCTGCAGGTGTTGATATGTAGTAGGGCTTGACAAGTTGTAAGTCTTCTACAAATGTCTTGGCAGCATTCTTATATGTATATCAAGAATGGCAAGCTAACTCGATCAGCTCAACGTTGTATCTCTCGGACTCCATCGGCATTCACGCATCCACTGCCGCCGGCTGGTAGGCTAGACTGCCACATCGCCTACTGCAAGTCCGGCGTACCTGCGTTGCCGATCCCGGACCGTCTGACCTTAGCGATGCCGCCTATAGGAAGGAATACTTGGGAAGCATTGCTGGTCTCCTCGCATCGGCCGTGCATTAGGTCACTTATAATAGGACACAAGCTGCATAGGTGCTGGCCCGTTAGTGTGGTTCCCTCTCCAGGGACGGCCGCGTTGCCCGCTTTGGGAAACCTGCCCGGGCGGGATATCGGGATCGTGAACTCTTTGCCGTGGTGGCTGATCGGACTGAGCTCGCTTGGTACCGGCGGCGATCAGGTCCCACGTTTCCGCCGGCTTTCTAAAATTAAGAAGGCAACGTCGCCGGCTCGCGAGACCCGGTGATTTGGTCCTAGACTATTAATGGTTTCAGGGTTTCCTTCTGCATACTGCCATCTGTATGGACTAGATTAATATCAGACATACCCGCCAGTTAAGCGTTTAACTAATTTAAGTACACGTGGTTTTTTATTTGTGCGGTGACGAGGGTGGGTTGAGGAGCTAGTGTTACCTGGGAATTGGAGTTGTCTCTTCAGGATGTAGCGTAATCTTAGAGCATTCGAAGTTAGGACTGACTAACGGTGTATCGAGTTGTCTACACTTCCCCAAGTTTTTGTCATATTAGTAAAATTAACTGTCTTTGGGGAGTGTTTACCTAATCAAAGTATAGAGTTAAGATTCGATTGGTAAGGAGTTACAATACATCTTTGCAGGTTTATATGCTCAAAGTCATAGAAAATAATCAAGTCAAGTTTTTCTAACAACAACACAGGCTCACTATTTGATTCACTTGCTTTGACTAGTTTAGGGTTTGATAAAACTTTCTATCTGGCGTTTATGTAGAGCCTCTGTATAACATATTACGGATAGGAACTATGAAGATACCAAAATTTAAATCGAATATGAGGCGTTATACCTGGGTTTTCTATCTCAGGGTACCTAAACTAGGTGATTCATGATTCTCAGATCAGTAAGTAATAATATGACTTGCGTAGATTGTCACGAGGTGGAACCAAACAGCATGGAAACAACTTCGTTGTTCCGCAAGGAACTCTAACTACCTAGAAGGTTCTACGTCTATATACTAAACATGTTCTTTATTCTAGATATCTCATCTAGAATCCTGACATAGATTACTTCACTTTCTAAAACCACCAAGAATCTTAAGCAATCAGTGATTTGTTAGCGAAGCTTCTTTAGCAGGTCATTATTCAATACAACTAGGGCCCAATGATTCCCATTATATGACTAAAATGGAAGCTATTAACCTGACATTATAGACACATCGAAACTAATTCATAACTCTGATTAGTTTACCGTGTCGTAACTACTACCTCTTATCATTGATTATCATCCATCTAAGTTGAAATCCAAGTAGTTCGGATCCAGCCTCGTTGGGTGCTGTCGACATGGCTTTAACTCACGATATGTCACAAGGTGAAACCAAACAGCATAAAACAACTTCGTTTTTTCGCAAGAAACTCTAACTATCTATAAGGTTCTAAGTCTATTTATACTAAACCTATTCTTTGTTCTAAATGTTTCATCTAAAATCCTAACACGATATCATTAAACTGCCTCCTAGAAATGTTACTATTATATCTTATGCGCATTTATAACCGCTATTCTGGTGGCAAATTTATTATCTAAGCTCCGCGAAAACTATCATATTATACACTAAATCCATTTACCTTCATCAAATTAGCTCCATCGCAGCTCTTCACAAATCCAAAAAAAAAAAAAAAAACTCTATATCGCCCCAAAAATGACCACCAACCTCATCGTCAGGGAATTGATGGGCCCTAGGCGCCATAGAGTCAAAAACGCCCTTTACAAACAATATAGGCATAGTCTCAAGGCAATGGCTAAAGACGCCTTCTGCATTATATATTACAATCCAGTTATGGAGGTTATATACGATGAGGATGAAGAGGACGGTACACCTTGTCTTCTCATGATCTTCAAACACGAGTTTGCCCTATCTGCTGATATGGAATTGTCACATCTAAAAACGCAAATCAGGAGGCACCGGCATCTTGGTTACTTCCGCATTGATGCGACAGCGCGTGCGAGAAAAGACCTAAGGGGAGTCTTTGTGGAGCGTGATATTTTGTATCAAGGCACACCACCAGAAACTTCGGGCCAGTCGGAAGAAGAGTCAAATTAAAAGGCATATCTTCCAATTAGTGGATTGGAGAGAGAAGAGATGGTTGGCGACGCTATTCGAACGGTGCTCTTTTCTCATTCGTGGATTGTTTTCTTTGCTGTTCGTCACGATGCTTTAGCAAGAACCACAGTAGACTACACGTAGAAGGTACCCAACTTAGTACTCAGTATTAATATTAAGTCCTTAGTAAGGCGCTCTCAATTTATAAGTTTTGTGTTTCCCCTTTATCAGATTCCTAAACCACCAAAATCCTCAAAACACGAAAATTTCCGCTCAAAAATGCTGTATTCTCACATGTTTCTTGTATAATCATACATCACCCCCGTCTCATGAGAAGCAATCTATTTAGGTATGATTTGGTTAGACCTACGTGATGATTACTACAATTAAGCCTTGATATGTGTTTGGTTGAAATGAGGTATTTATATGAACGGATGTGATATCTTTACCTGTCTCCTTTTCATCCACTCTTGACTATACTATACTATATATCATTGTCAGTTAATCTCCTCAATTTCTTTTAGTTCCATCGATTATGCTTTGAATCGCATTTGCCAAGTGCGTGGATAAGTGAATTCTGGCAAGACTTTATCCAGCTGTCAGTGATTTACTTAGGTTGGGTTGGGTCAATTTCACTTTGTCATAATGGTGCCTGACATACCTACCTATGATTCAGGTCCAGTTTTACATACAAACTCATGAACAGCTGCATGATCTGTCTTACTATTCTCTCCGACAAGAGATGAATGGGGCACTTCGTGATTCTCATTTAGCATGCGTCACGAGATATGCCCCTCGTCAGTTTAAAGAAGTTTGTTACTTATTTACAGTATCCAAGGTCTGTTTCCTTTCGCGAAGTATATATTTTGGGGGCGGTAAAGTACTTAATTTCTGAACCTGTATATGTCCGTTGTCATATTAACTGCACCACCCTCACTCTATGGTACCACGCCAAGCCCAAAATAGCATCCCCCGCCGCAATGCCTTTCGCGCTGAAGAATATCTTTTACACGCCGCAGAGGCTCAAAGCTGAACAGCATGTCAAGCGTGGCTTCGGTACACACTCAAATCTCGTAAAGGAAGTGACGTATGACGAGGACAAAGACGACAAGACGCCTTGTCTTCTCGTAATCTTCTGGTCCTCCCGAGCCCTTTCTCTATTTGGAGAATTGGAGCAGGCAAAGCACAATATCGAGAAGGACTTTTGGGGTGGACTTGAACATTTCCGTATCGATAGTAAGTCACAAGTTTGACTCCTATATGCTACTCGAGGCGCCCTAATTAAATTTTATTTATTTTGCTGGATGAATTATAGAGTTATAAGAGAGGCGTGATCACTAACATCGGATATTGCAGTTGTAGCGCATAGCAATATGGATTCGCGGACATGTCTAGTGAGACGCAGCAGCAAGTATCGCAAGCCTCATCAGAAGCCTTAACGAAGAAGTATGGACGCGAGGCGGAAGGGTGTACGAGTCAGGGGAAGAGAACAAGAGCATCGACCGTGTAAATCTAGCACCGTTGATTGGAGAAATGGATTAGATTTAGTTTTTATTGGAAAGCTTGCTTTCCTAAGTTAAATTTAGTATATAGAGTTGTAGAGGGATCGGATTTTCAAGCTAGTAAAACCTTACGACTTTGCATTTACCCTATTGGCTGAAGTTTACCCGAAGTGTACAAATATAGTTTAGTCTAAAATCAGGTACGTACCTCTCTTAAAAAACCGAAGCCATCGGCTTTGGTTTTCAACGTATTTAATTGGAAAGCCTCGCCGGCAAGCTTTCCAATTAGCACAACTCGTTGTGCTACAGGGCTTCATGGATACAGTACCTAACCCAAGGTTAAGTACCTAAGGTTAGGTACCTAATGAGTTTATGGACATATATAACTCGCCCAGTATATTACTCATCACCTAGGTACCTACCTCCTAACCTAAGGAGGTACATATGCGTACCTCAATCATATGGGCGTAGCTTCTTCTTTAGAGGTATACAAAAGGAAAGCGCACAGGTTATACGCACATATATACAAGGAAAGAGTAGGCAAGTTTATAATGCGTTTCGGTCGCATCTCAAGATTTTACCCGTTGCATATTCTTCCTTTCCAATTCAACACTTCTCCCCTATCTATAAAGCGACTTTAGCAATGAATTATGGTCCTCAAACAAATCATAGAAAATAATTCCTACACGATGGAGCATATGTTGCGTTGCAATAATCTAAAATGTCGAAAAGAACTTGGTGATCGAGCATTAGTGACTACATGCAGTCATATTTTCTGTACCGACTGCGCTGCCCGCCTTGGTTTGACAGCTCAGAGACATGAAAATCGGAACTCATGTCCTGCTTGCAATACCCCTTTAACTAATCCTGATGATGCCGTCATTTCAAATCTCAATCCCAGCGAAGATTATAAAACGAGTGTTCTTAGCGGCCTTAGTCCCTACGTTATTATCGAGTGCGCAAGTCGAGCCCTTAGCTTCTGGGCTTATCAAGCCACCCAGGAAGTGTTAGTGTTATACCCGCCTCCTATCATTCTAATATTACATTAATACCTAGGTAATCTCTAATCTGAATCTATAGCTTCTACCATGAGAAACTCGGCTCTGCACTTACTGAAAAATACTCAAACCTCAGCGTCCAGCTTGACAAAGTTATCAATGGCGCAAACTTGGAAATCTCCCGCCTGGAAGGAAAGCTTTCAGGAGAGTTGCCCCTATATTCCAATTGCATTCAATATTACTGACCTTTTATAGGCATGGGTATAGAGCATGAGAATCTACGTAGAAAGAATGACGAACTAGCCCACGCGTACAAAGAGAAGAACCGAAAGCTCCTTCAGATCCAAGAGTTGTATGATAAACTCAAACAGAGAGCTATGTTGGGTCAGATGCAAGATGCTGCCGAAGATGCAGTTGATTCTGCACTCAATGGGCAATCATTAGATAGAGCCCAATTTGAGAGTGTTGGACAAAATTCTACCGATTATCAAGATCATGGAACGCCTTATGCGCACCATCGCCCAGCGCTCCACGAGCAGCAAAGAATGCCAGCTGGATACCACCATCAGGCGATACGACAGGACCATAACAATCCCTGGTCAAGAACTACGGGGATTAAATGTAATAAAGCAAGAGAAGATTCAAGCAAAATGAGCGCGATAGCTAACATTATCTAGCAAATGTCCCTATTACACCTTCGACCCATCGCCAGCGTCTTGGCGAAACGACTGGTGTTGGTCTGTCGACTATTCCCGGTCTTGTTTCAGGAACTCCTCAAATACATCAAACCAATATGAACATACGATCATCACAAGCTGATATGTCATCAACGAATCTTCAAACTAATGCAAGATTCCCTGCTGTTGGACTGAGCTCTGGTCTGAAAGTCGGTCACGATGGAAGTAACTCTACCGGATTTTCCGCATCATTAGCAAGACCACGAGGTTAGTTCTCTTATTACAATAGTCATTTTCTAAGATGAAGTCGCGCTGACCTACCAGTAGCAGTAGCTCAGAGACAAACGCCAATCTCTTCAACATTCCATCGAACACAGGCAGGTGGACAGCAGGAAAATATTCTCCATGGAATTCGAAATAATTTCACAAATCTCTAAGCTACTTTATCTGCCAAGGCTCACAATAAGGATTATTTGTGAAGGATAGAGAAATGATATTGTGTCAACTCAAAGGCAGAGCTCTAAGGGTAGAATTAGAACGAGACGTTAATGCATTAAACAATACATTGTAGCTGGAGGAATACATAATGATTTGCTCTTATTCCTTTGTTGCGAAGGCCTGCTGAACTTTTCAAACTCATAACACAGAACAAGAACATTGTTGAAGTATAATACAACTGTTCTTTATAATATATAACTCATAAAGGAGTTTCATTATCTCTTCTATGCTGATTCTTTCCGCCAACCCCTGAACCGTTCAAAGAAAAACTATTCAAAACAGATCGATATCTACACTTACAGTATTATTATTTCGCATCAAACTCTATATTCAAAATCTTATACCTCGGCAACTAAATCTAACATCAACCATGGCGTCCAGATACTCCCAGTATCAGCATCAGCATCACGATAGATCAAACAGTCTTTATGGATCGCACACTGATCTATCATCTTCGAATGAGTCTACGCAGGCGTACGACTCGCGCGGTGATCGTAGGAGTATCAGATCGTCTCAGTCGACGCACTACCAACAGATGGATCGAATGCTACCACGTGGGTCTCATGTTGAGGACAAGGACGTTAAAGTGACGAAAGCTTTCAGCCGTTGGCTAGGAAAGCACAAGCCCAAGAATGCTGCAAGTACTGAGAGGCTCCGTATAAGTGATCCCCATGCTATATCATTACCACAAGCTCCGTTACGCCCTAGGCGTTCGATTAATGAGCAAAAGCTGCTGCCAATAGGTGCATCTCGGATATTACCTGAGCTGGAATCATCAAAGCCGCCTTTAAAGAATCCAAGTATTCAAAAGAAAAATCTCGGTAAATCTCATGATGCATTAGGCTCCTACCCAGTCGGCGCTTGGCTCGATGATTCGGAGAAGACGCACCCCCCTAGACAAATATTGTTAAGGTCTTCGGCTGGAGACAGTGAAGAAGAGGCTCCACGAGTTGTTCAGTCTAGACGGTCATCTCGTATTTCCTCAAGCTCAACGCTCCCCGAGCCTGAACCAAGGCGTGACGTCAAGCCCAGTCTGTCAGCAGATGTCAGAGCCGAACGACGTAAAGGGCGAATATTCTTAAATAGCGATCCCTCTAGAAGTCTTTATGAATTCCCCGACCCTGAAGTTTGGAGTAATGAAGGTGATGATGAAAGCGACGATGACGACCAGTTTTGGGATGACGCAGGCTTTGAAGATTCTGACTTCGACGATGCTGGTTTTGAAGAGGCCGTTTTTGAAAGCACAGATAGGCAATACCCCACTGACAGTTCCATCCCAGAGATCACAGTCTCCAGTCCGAGTGACGAAGAAAGTGAAACGAAGAGACGAATGAGTTCTAAGGACATGCTGAAACCCGACGACGTCTACAAGGTTCTTTGGAAACAGCAGACCAAAGAAACACGCTTCTTGAACGAAACCCAACGTTTTCTATTACCTCTGGCTTGGTTGGTGGCAGAGGCAGAAGGAATAGATGTAAATGACTTGCCTGCGTTGGAGATGTCTTTGAAGTCTATCATTGCAGACCGTCAAAAGCTCATTGACCTCTTCCCCCTAGCAAAGATATTGGCCAAGGATCAAAAGGTTGATGTTACTGATTTCAAATCATTCCCTCGGATGTTGAAAAATGTCATAGCGGACCGTGACAATGCTAAAAGGTTAGCCGAGTACCACAGAGTGGCAAGAAGAAAGCTTGAATCTAGAGTCGCGCAGTTAGAGATGGAGAGAAATGGCGAAAGCCCGGATGATGAGGAATATATCCGGTACTGAAAAAATTCCTTGGTCACCACCAAGGAAATTATGGAAGATGAGTATCCTTAAGGTCTTGAATCATACTGTTACCTAATAATTCTAAAAGGCAGTGGGCAGGGACCATTTGCGACTGATAGAGGTATAATTTGGAACATCTCTCTGGCCGTAAGTACTCATTAACCTAAGCCCCCTCTACCAATCCCCCAAGTTTATATCCACACCCCTATCCTTCATTTACCACTTTAATATCGGGAGTTAAGAATCACCCACGTACAAGACTCTGTACATCGACAACGATGCCATAGCCTCTCTAACTAATACGAGGCTACCCGGCACCATATATTAACCAACGTCTTATCACGGTCATACCGTGTAAGCGCGTATTTAAGAAATTTTATTTATAACAACGAGCGGGACATACGAAACCCCGCAAGTTGCCATCACTTCGTCAAACGACATTATTTTCTCATCTCTTCCTCGTCCTGCGCAGGGGGTAAGAGATAAGATAGCCATTCATTTTAGCACGTTATTTCATTAGGTCGGGCAGAAACGCCCAGCTACGAATTTTATAATACAGAAAGCCTATCCTCCCGATCTGGCCAGGCGGGTGGACAGGTGGACATTACACTCGTTTCTTTTTATATGTACCTACCTACAGGTATCCTCATTCATTTACGAAATTGTTTAATTGTTACTGGAGTTGTTTAGCATACGCATCTCGTCACTTCTTTCTTTAGTTACATGGGTGTATGCTTAGTTAATTTAATAAAAAACACATGGTTTTATTTACATATCGTTAAACTACTTTCTCTGCAATCGTGATCATGTCTTACTTAGGTGCTACCTATTACTAAGAGGAACAGGTAGGTACAATTAGGTTGGTTTTCACGTAAATTTGGAGACATTTAATCTTATATGATAACTGTAGCTAATTCCTGTGTACTTCGTAAGGGCATCCTCCTAGGTTAATTCTATATGAATGTTAACTTAATCTTTACCATTTTCCACGACTCGGATACTCCTTATGACTAACTGTATGTGAGCCCCTGAAATACCACGTTCAACCTAACTCCATGGATAGAACTCATTAGGCGAGAAAATAATTGACCGCTTTTCACCGCCTCGCCATCTCAAACACGGTATGTGCTCGCTTTCACGTTTTTGGTTCGTCACCTTAATTCCTAATTCCGAGTTGAGGAGCTTCGTCGCATTGTGAAGCTCCGGGCTAGGGTTCCAAAGATCTACTTCTAGCAGCTCCCATTTAGCAGCCTCTTCAATAGCGTCGAGGAGGAGTCGGGCGATTGCCCGTGTCGAGGTTGCTTGGTCTTGGTCACGGGGCAGTTTGACGCGCTGGATTGTCATTTTTCGGTGAAGAAGATCAGAGTACCAGTATATCCACGAGTCTGCGCTCTCACAGATACTGCCTTTTACTTCTGGGGTCTTGCCGTTCGACTGGTTGTTCATGTATGCTATTCGGGCCTGTAGCCAGGTGATCATGTTCGTGGTAGGTAAGATGGTCACAAGCACACTGTCTTTCGGGAGATCATATTTCTGGAAGTCATCTTTCAGACATTCTACATCCCGCTCACAAAGGCGGGGAATATCATCTGTAGTTAATGGGCGCGTCTCTGGGAACTGGGCTTGTCCTTTATGCAGAACAGATGGGGGAACTGTCAGGATAGATTCGAAAGAATCTAGAATATCCCAACCTTTGCTAACGTAGAACTAAGTCACTCTTATCAGCATGCTGAATTGTGATGTAGTGGTTAACATGACCTACATCTCCCACATCCGAGTATAGTATACTAGCCGTTGCATTTCCTGGCCCATCTAACCATTCGGCCACCTTTTTCAATAAGACAGAGGCGAGACCGCGTCCACGGTAAGTCGAATCGGTAACGACGCTACAGATGCAGTAGCCCTGTTCCTGGCGCGTAGCGGAACTGTCTCGGATTAGTAGATCCCTATGCATCGTCTTGCACATGGCCAATACTTGTTCGGGATTATCGGCCAATGTGAGACACCACCACCGCCATCCGGTGCCTCGTGCGAGAGGCTGACTTGCGAGATATTCGTCTCGCCCTAAGTAGCCTTCCGGGGTGAGTGACTTCCCGAAGGCCGTAGAAGCGAGTTTGGCGGACCGGACTCGCTCCTCGGGTGTCGTCGCCTCGGAGAAAATTACTTTAAGCGTGCTGCGGGCATTTTCGATGGTGATTGGTTGTGTTTCTGCCATTGCTGTAATATTTATATTTATATTTCTTTTGTTGTAATTTCGATGGTTGATTGCTTCTCTTAACGAAACCGGAAGGCCGTCGTGGATAAGTGTCTCCGCATCTGGTCCGAGATTCGTTTATAAATCGGGTCGTCCACTCTTCGCTTAGGTGCGGATCATTTATTGGTGTTCCTCGCCTCATTGCTGGTTCCCCTCAAGATGGCGTCTTTTATATATCCGATTCTCTTTATGATTCGTAGCGCATTGCCCTTATTTGCAATAGTTTTATGCCGTACGCCCTTGATCTTTCCTATCGTTGTAGTTGGTTATATTGGGAACGAATTATCTTCTTTAGAATCCCCCACCTTGTAAGGGGTTGTATTACACAGTACCTGGATTTGCTTGTTAAGCGACCTACCCTTAGATTATCCCAAGATAGATAGGCAAATATATTATATATAGGTACTTAGGTATGTATACTAGTAGTCTTAGCTAGTCATGTTCATAGCTCTTCGCGTAATAACAATACTATTTTCCTACTTTATCACCCTAAATCTCTTCGGGTGGATTAAAGAATTCGTATTCGTATACTCCGTAAAGGGCCATAGGCAGCGCCAAGACCACCAAGGGATCATGAATAAATAATATTTAAAATATCCTAGCTTTCCACGGGGTAGTATTCTTATTTACTCGGTCAATGTAGGCAGGATCGTGAGAAGAACGGCGAAATGGATGCCACGGGAAAGCAAACGCTGTATGCCGCGATCGCGACGTTTCTTGTGATTGGCATCGCTTGGATATGGAAACTCAACAGCACCTTGAAACAGACACCACCAGAAGTATTAGCTATCTCCCCACACCGCTGGACAGAGCAAGAGATCAAAGATACCTACCGACGCATTGAGGCCAACCCGATCGACTGGGCTAAACAACTCCCGCCGCAGCTGAACCGTCGTTACATTGTAACAGGCGGCTGCGGCGGAGTCGGTGGTCAAATCGTCCTACACTTACTTGCCCGTGGCCAGTCTCCGGAGAGCATCCGAATCATCGATTTCCAAAAGCCGGTCCGATCTGATATGACAACGGGCTCTGCCGCTCTAGTTGACTTTGCGCAAGCTGATATCACATCGCCACCGGCAACGTCTGCGGCATTTAATAAGCCATGGCCCAAGAGCGTTGCCCATCTTCCACTTACTGTCTTCCACACGGCTGCCATAATCCAAGCGTCGGAGCGCTCCCTTAAAACTTATGAGCGCATAAAGCGCGTCAATATCGACGGTGTACAAAATGTCTTAGACGCGTCGAAGCAAGCCGGCGCTACCGTCTTCGTGTCTACATCCTCCGCCTCAGTTGCTTATACGCCCGTTAGGTATTGGAATAATCCTTTTCAGCGCTGGCCTGAGAACTATTGGCAACTACTCGACGACTCTGATTTTGACCGACCGTTGCGACCGCACGCGCAATTCTTTAGCAATTATGCGCACGCAAAGGCGACCGCCGAACGCCTTATCTCCGAGGCTAATAACTCCGGTTTCCGCACGGGGATCGTGCGCCCTGGGAACGGTATCTACGGTAGCAGTCACGGCGACCAGATCATTGGGCTTTGTTTGAGGGCTGGTACGTTCCCGAGTTGGACGAGGAATATCATTCAAAACTTCGTACACACTGGAAACGTATCATTGGCGCACTTGCTTTTCGAAGCAGCGCTCTTGAGAGATGAGAAAATATACCTAAATGTGCTGGCCGCGCGTTTACCGTTACGGACCCTGGACCGCCGCCTATGTACGAGGATGTCTATAGGTTATTAAAAGTCACAGCCACAAGAAACACGGCACCTATTAAGGTCATGTACTTGCAACCTGGAGTTATGTTATTTCTCGCACATATCGTTGAGTGGTTTGACCTAGCAAGCCGGACACCGGTACTCGAATGGATAGTACCACGGCCCAAGGGCGAACTGGCAAAGTTACAGCCGGCTATTTTTACGCCCTGTTCGCATTTGTTAGCATCAAACGAGGGTGCGGGACGAAGCATCGACGAGGGTGGCATCGGATACCGACCTATTCATAACACGATAGAGGGAATTTGTCAGCAAGTTCTAGAGTGGAATATTGAGCATCGGGATTCAGCGAAACAAGGACCTCAAAACGCCGCAGAGACTCTTGTAAAAGAGATTCAAAATGTAGGCGTGTCTACTGCTGTAGGCGTTTAAGCGTATAGTTATATTATTCTACCACCTACAAAGCGGTGCTTCATAATTGTTTATATATCTTCTGTAGTTAGGTAACTAGAATATTAAAACTCCGTCATTTCCAAAAGCTCCACATAGAAGGGCTCATTTGAGCATACGGATACTATCGATCTAGTAACTGAGCAGTATTGATGATAGTGATAGTACATCGATCTAGTGAAACTACATCATAGTTGTTTTCAAACAACTTGCATGTTTGCTGATCAGTCGTGTTGAACTGGAACACAACACACATCCCCAAACGACAACCTTGTTCCACCCTGTTCTTGTTGCTATATGGTAAAGAGGTGGCCGCTGAAATCTGATTTGATGGATGCCACGATAGAATAGTTAATTCTTACAATTCATAGAAATACCTACACTTCACAAAACATAAAGACCGAACTGCACCTTTCGAATTATTGAAGAAATTGAGACACTAATGTCAGCAAATGTTGTTCCCCCCGCGGAGGCACGGCCGCCACGCCTTACCTTCGGCGTTGAAATGGAATTTGTAGTTCCCTGGTTGCCCGAGGGCGTTGACGATGTCCTCGAACATATCAAAGGTCTACCTCCGATCTTTAGGATAAAGGAGGAACCAAAGGATGGAGACATTCCAGCCGTGATTTATAAAATGATCAAAGCTCTCTTCGAGAAACACAACCTTCCAGCCAATATTAAGACTTATACATATAAGACTGATTTTATCAAGGGAATACTCGGTAATTATAATCATTGGGGAGTTACGGAAGACGTTACCGTTAATGAACCCGTCGAAGCCAAGACCTTTGACTGGGTCAAAAAGTTTGGATGGGTGGGCGTCGAGGTTCAGACTCCCGTCGAGCCTGATATCCCTGCTGCTTTCGAAGTTCTTAATTACGCTCGACAGCTTCTAATCTCGTCGTATAGGTGTCGCGTCAACCATTCCTGTGGACTCCATGTTCATGTTGGAAACGGTGCCGAATACTTTCCCCTCGACTCTTTGCGACGTATTGCTTCACTAGTATTTGCTACGGAGCACTTGCTCACCACCCTCAACCACCCCTGGCGGGTAGTTAATTGGAACTGTCGAACATTGCGGGACAGAAGTAATTTGTCGAATCGGTTAGATGGTCAAGCAATGAGTCCTGGCCCGACGCATGAAACTGGATCTGGAAGAGATTGCGTCCGGTATCTTGCCACAGAAGTCCGACACGGAGAGGAGCCTATATCCTGGAGAGAGGAGAATCGATCGAATAAGTATGTGGATGCTTTCGATGAAAATAGGAATAAAGCTGGGTTTCAACCTTTCCAACCAAAGATGGAACCTAAGGCTGGGGAAGCAGCCCCAAAAAAGAAAAGAATAAAAGCTAAAGCGAAGAATGCAGGAGGGAAAGAAGAGGAGGATCAGGTAATCAAAGCGTCTAGCGATCCGTTCATCCGGCCTATCAAACCCAGCAAGCCCGTCCGCACACGAAACATTCCAAGAATCGCAAGAACGCGCTATACTGATGAACAACTCGAAGACATCAACGAGAAGACAAGAGACTGGGGTTGCTCCGGCCTCGAGGTAGACGGTCCAAATTCCCATCGGGCACCAGACCCAGGCGTATTCGCAGGGGTCCAGCAAATCTACCAGAGCGTGAGCAGCTGCGAAATCGCGCATCTCATGTATCCCCGAGGAGGGGCCATGGTGAATTTCCGGCACTACGCGTGCGATTCATTCATGCATCGCAACTCGGGGCGCACGATCGAGTTCCGGGGAGCCGAGGGCAGCCTCAGCTCCTGGGTAGTGGTCTGGGCGAAGATTTGCGTAGGCCTGATCAAGTTCGCCATTCGATCGCCTTACTACGAGTTCACTCGCGTTCTTGAGAACTGCGATATCTCGACCGACGAGGATGGTGTGTATGATTGCATTGACTTGCTTGATGATTTGGGACTCTATGCGGAGGCGGAAGCGGCTGAGAAAGGATCGCGGCGAATAAAGAGGAATGGGGTCTCGAGTACGTGGAGCCGGAGAGAAGGCGGCTGAATAATTACTGTACGGTAATTATCTTTTGTTTTCTCCTTTTCTCTTTCATTGACCTTTATCTTTGTTTTGGGAGAGCACCATATTTATTGTAGAATATTAGGTACGACCCATTGTATATTGGAGCTTTCATTTTAGGAAACATACTCTTTATCTACTTGCTTCCAACATGTTAGAATATTAGATTTAACTAACTAGCTCAATATTAATACGTTAAGCACCATTATAATTTAAATGTTCAGTGACAGTTTCTTCTTAAAGAAGTATGTTATACCCCATATATAAGGAAAAGGGGCAAATTATAGCATAAACCCTAGTGTTGTCTTATATACCTAAGGTATTTTCAAACCCTAAGGATGCGTTAGTTGATATCCTATTCTTAAACAGGCGTAAGTCCTAGCGATCATAGCATTCTAGTCGGCCCACAACATCTACTATGTAATCCTTCTTGGCCCACCGAGGCTTATACAAAGTTACCTAAGTAAGACACTTCTAAATTTTAAGTGTTTACGAAAATGTATTATATAGATGAAGTATGTATGTAATTGTCTAACATAATGGTTGTCGTCTAGTAAACGCGGTTAAAATCGATTGGCGCACCGTATGATACTCTTGGCCAATGAAGATCCTGACGTCGAAAATATTACTCAGATCCTCAGCTGAACAGCAAAGCCACGATCTAAATAAAGTCCCATACATTAGGTATGTAAACCTTGTAGCGCAGCCTGGCAGCCTTAAAAGCCGAGAAAAGGCAGTGCATCTCGATCTGGAACCTGGCTCGCAAGACCTTCTTTAATCATGCCTGTCATTGCGCGAGACCAGCGATATTACCGTGTTACATTATCTCAAGAATCGAGCTGATTGGTTCTTTTTTCTATAATAAAATTGACAGGGGCGATTTAAGATGACCAAATACCCCGTACTAAACCTAAACCGGTCTTTCAAAGGATCAAATCTGCCAAGACAGCCAAGATGAATCTCCCCATAATCAGCGGCACAGCTAAGAGTAATGACATATCGGGTTTTGAGGCTTGGGAACGTGTCGAACCCTTGGCTCTGCCCTATGGGATCCATCATTTTTGATATGTAGTCCTATATATATAAACTTGTGGTCAGTAAGCTGTAAGATTCAAATCTCATTCCATCTTCCAACTTGCGGAACTCCTTAAAAACGAATCTTCAACCTTAACAACCAAACTTTCGTTAATCAACAACGTATTGACGTATAAATCATTCAAAATGGTCTCCCAAGTCACTCTCGCTATTCTCGGTCTCGCTTCTACCGCCGTTGCGACATATAGCCCATTGCAGCTGAGGAACTTACACAACCTACGCCAGGAACATGTTGTTGTCGAGGTGCGACAGGTATCTTCGGAAGAGCCCGAACTACCTACAATCACACAAAGCCCCGAGTGTGCTTCTGCCCTAGAGCCCCTGGGCTCCGACGTCCCTGACGTCCCACCCGAGCTGCTGTCGTACATGGAGTCGTTCGCAGCCACGGCCGACACCAGCAACCCGACTATCTTGTGCGAGGCTACCCAGGTACCGCAATCTCTGTCTTCTCAATACAGCTCGTACGATCAGGCAGCTAGCAGCTGGCTCAGCAAGCACAGCAGCGACCTCCAAGCCGCTGCTACTAAGTGCGGCGGCAGCGATGCCCAAGTCAGCGAGGCCGTGGCTTCTATCAGCGCTTTCCTTGGAGATACATGCGGTGCTTCTACAACCGCATCTCCGGGTCTTGCTGCCCGGCCCACCGGTATGGTTGCGGGTGCTATGGCTGCCGCCGGTGCTCTTGGCGTCGCCATACTTCTATAGTTGGATTCCTGCTATGCATATATACTGGAGTTGAAAATGGGCTCTTTCGTGCAAATCAGATAATGTAATATATCCAAAATTCAATTCGCTTCTGCATACTTACATGTATATTTATATTGTGTTGTATAATGATGCAGCATCATCTAATCCCTCTGTGATAGTTTTTTATTATGCGTTAAGTACCTGTTTTGGTGAAATCTTGGACGTTTGAAAGCTTCACAAGTATAAAATATCTTAGATCTTGTTAAAATTAGTAGCAACACAACATGATATGAGGGTAAGGGTAATCTACTTAAAACTACATAACTATGCAGGTATCCGCCTTGTACAAATGATTTCGTTTGTCTCTCACTTCAACCTTTGACTTCAACAAACAAGCAGAATTATCGCATCTTAATCTAGAAATATACCATTGTTTAGAACGTTATAAGACTCGTCGCTATGGCCAAACTGAATAATTTACCCTATGAGCTTTCTCAAATGATTGCGACTTGCGGCATTCTAAGAAGAAGTGATCTCGCGTCCCTTACTCTCACCAACCGGCAACTCTATCTTGCCATCAATGGAATACTGTACAAGACCTTCGGATCCCCAGTTGCAATTGAATTTGCTGTTAAAAATGGCACACTTGGTACTCTTGAAGCTGCCTTTTCCTTCGGACTGGACATACACTACGATTGCGATAAACCACTACACCAGGCTTGCGAGAAGGGACAGATTGAAGTTATAAAATGGTTATTAAATCATGGCTCGTCGGTCGACACCGAACTCGTATCTGGTACTTTCGCCGATGCGTCTCGCTCCCCGTTGTTCACCGCACTCCTCCATAAACGGGAAGATGCTGCTTTGTTGTTACTTGAACTTGGGGCTATTCCTAGATTCACCTTTCACCCCCCCAATCTTCATCATCGTCATCAATTAGCTCACCGGTTATCCTATTACAGCTCTTCAATATAGCGGTTGACAAGGATATAGACGCGTGTGATGGAATTTCTAGTTCGCGAACACCTACAACCCATTGATGAGAGTCTCCATCGGTGTCCATCGGCCTTAGTCTTCATGATTGAGCGATGCAGGCAGAATACTCAGTTGAGTACATTCAAAAAGCTAATTGAGCTTGGGGCCAGTGTCAACGCCGAGGCTTCCAACAATAAAGTTCCATTGATGGTTGCTCTCAAGAATGGCCAATATGACTACGCGAAAGCACTACTTGATGCAGGTGCGATGATTAACCCGAGATCCACGAACCCTGAAATACGGAATCCCATTCATGCTTGCATTATGGGCTCGGGACGCAATTTCCCTGCAGCGTGCGCTATGCTTTCTAGGCTAATAGAAGCTGGTGCAGACCTAGAAAAGAACTACGCAGAAGAACATACTCTCTTAGGACAGGCTGTGGTACATGGACATTGGAAAATGATACCTCATCTCTTATCATTAGGTGTTCGGGTAGATGGCCAAAACTCATCCGGACGTACTCCACTAGATCTTTTCGTGGACTATACGAGCTATGACGATTATCAGCAGGAGGACAAAGTATTGGCACTCCTACGTGGTGGTGCTAGGATGGACACACCTTTGTTTGATGGAAGGACGTTACTGGAATGGATAATCCATGAAGATTGGGTACTTAATCAGTATAATAACCACCCTTCAGTGCCCACCTACTTGAGCAACTGTTGACCGCAGCTACCCCGGCAATGTTGGATAATAACTATCTGGATGAACTCCTGTTTATGTTCTTCGAACCGAGGTACTATACAGAGTGCTTGATACTCACTAATCATGGTGCCACTTTGAAAAGCTACGACCAGGCATATTCTACCGCGAGGGACATGATATCCACTTACGAACACCAGCAGCCACACGATTCGGAAAATCATTTCAAATACTTCCAGATGATTGCCCATGCAAGCTTGCCAGCGGAAAAGATCAACGAGTTAATGGCCTATGCTCGAGAAGTAGGAGATGAAGAGAGCTGCCGAGCCCTATGTTATCGGAAAGCAACTTAATTTAGGACCTGAAACAAAACTGGTACCATTGGGTTGTAAAAACGATGCTATAATCATTATGGAGAGGTTGTGAAAGGAGGCGAAGGACAATGGGTAAAAAAAGAACCAAACAAAAAAACCTAAGTGTTGATGACATATTTTTCTTGTAGGGGAGGTAGACATAATGAATTCAGTGCGCATAAACCAGTAAATGATTCTAGTCTTAATCTCAATCGTCATTGTACTGTTGACATCCTTATGTACTAAGTTAATGTACCTAAGTTATGGTCTATTACAATAATTTAGGGAAAAAAGGATAAGTCAAGGACTCATGGTATAATCTGTCACTCCCATTGCTGGCATCCAAAATACCCCTATTCCGATTTTAATAAACGGCTATGATAGATATGATATGAAGCATATATCGCTAAAAAGGGGTTTCGTAGTTATTACGGCGTAAAGTGGCTGTGCACCGATACCTTTACAAAGTACACGTCAATCCGATGTGGGATTAGGAAGTGACGCCACATCTCAGGAACATCAATCATTAGTTCGAAACTTGAGACTTTCGCTAAGAGCAACGCGTCTGATCTCTCAGCTTTCTGTCATTAAGTGGGATTAAAGCTTGTATATAAAAAAATTTTCAATTTCAAAATCGCATGGAGTGTCGCGTAGGTCGACTGAGTTTTTTTGGACTGACGACACATGGCCTCTCTATTTATCTAAGGAGAAAAAACGCGACAATGGGTATGCGAATTGAGCCATCTGTACGGATTAGACGGTAATACTTACTAACTTTCCTACAGCGTCCCCGAGACCATCACGCGACTCCCTTTCTTCTGTATCTACGACGAGTCTAGTATTCGAACGACTTAGCGAACGAGGAAGCTCAAAGAGAATATTTTCCGATTTAGATGACGAAGATCCATACACAATGACTCCGAGGATGAAGCTGGTGGCTTCTTACTCCCCCTTCCGGAAAGGAGGACTGTCGGGGTAGAAAATCTCTAAAGAGATTCGTCCTCGTTATGGGGGGGGTATTTCTTGCTGCTTGGCTAGTTGGTTTATTTACATATCTATCGACCAAATCATATCAACACTCTTCTCAGAAGGAGCACGACCCGACCGCTACGGCAGCTCGCGGATCCGGGAAAAAGGTCACGTTAGATCAGATATTAGACGGATACTGGCGACCTCAGAGTCATGGAATAAGCTGGATCGCGGGTGCGAACGGAGAAGACGGATTGCTTTTGGAAAAAGGTGCGACTGGAAAGGATTTTCTTGTTGTTGAAGATGTTCGAAGCAAGAATGAAGACCATGCTGCAGGCGGGGGGAGATCAAATCTGCGCAGACGCTCATGCAACAATCTTGGTTTAAGGCCGGCGATCAACAGCTATCACCAGACCAAGTTTGGCCGAGCCCGGACCTAAAGAAAGTACTCATCGCTACTCAGACGAAAAGCATTTGGAGATATTCTTTCACTGGTATCTATTGGATATTCGATGTCGAGTCTCAAACTGCTGAGCCACTGAACCCTCAAGACCCCAATCTCCGAGTCCAGCTTGCCCAGTGGAGTCCGAAGAGTGATGCTGTTATATATACAAGTGCGAACAACCTGTATGTACGACGGTTAGAAGGCAAGAACGTGTGCAGATCACGAAAGATGGTGGACCAGAGTATTTTTACGGCATTCCAGATTGGGTGTACGAAGAAGAGGTATTCGGCGATAATAGTGCAACGTGGTGGTCTGAGAAAGGAGACTTTGTGGCTTTCTTAAGAACGAACGAAACCCTAGTGCCTGAATATCCAATCCAGTTTTTTATTGATAGGCCAAGCGGCGAGGCGCCTCCTGCTGGAGAAGAAAGTTACCCAGAAGTGCAACAACTGAAATACCCCAAGGCCGGCTCGCCCAACCCATTTGTAGACCTTCTGTTTTATGATATGGCCCGGGGCGATGTTTTCTCGGTCGAGATTGAGGGAGGGTTTGCCGCGGATGACTTGTTAATTACTGATATCACGTGGGCTGGAAACAAGGTCCTCGTGAAGGAGACGAATCGTGTCAGCGATATCATGCGGGTTATTCTAATCGACGTCACTTCTAGGACGGGTAAGACGGTTAGGACAGTCGATGTGGGCAAGCTAGATGGTGGCTGGTTTGAAATCTCACATGATACAACATATATCCCGGCCGACCCTTCGAACGGTAGACCTGATGATGGCTACATCGATACTATTATCAAGGACGATAGGGACCACATGGCATACTTCAGCCCTCTAGATTCCGAAGAGCCTGTGATGTTAACGTCAGGGAATTGGGAAGTCGTGGCGGCACCTTCTGCAGTCGATCTGAAGAATAATCTTGCATACTTCGTTGCTACAAAGGAGTCCTCCATCCAACGACATATTTATAGTGTTAAGCTTGACGGATCTCACTTAAAAGAGATGATCGATGTCAGCAAGGAAGGTTATTATGATGTTTCGTTTTCCGCCAAAGCTGGATACGCCCTCGTCACATACAAAGGGCCAAACGTCCCAACGCAAAAGGTCATGAGCACTCCGGGCAACCCAGAGGTATACGAACATCATTGAAGAGAATAAGGACTTAGCGGATAAGGCAAAGAAGCACGAGCTGCCATTACTAGACTACGGTACTATTACCATAGATGATGTCGAGCTTAACTACCTCGAGCGCCGTCCAGCGCACTTCGATCCGAAAAAGCGATATCCCGTGCTCTTCCAGCAGTACTCTGGTCCGGGCTCACAGTCGGTTGACAAGCGTTTCGCTGTCGACTTCCAGTCGTACGTTGCTTCCAACTTGGGCTACGTGGTTGTTACGGTTGATGGGCGCGGGACAGGATTTATAGGGCGAAAGGCACGCGTGATTGTACGAGAGCACCCGGACAAATAGAGGCTCAAGATCAGATCGCAGCAGCTAAGATTCTGGGCTGAAAAGCCATATATTGATGAGTCGCGGGTTGCGATTTGGGGATGGTCATACGGCGGGTTTCAGACACTCAAGACGCTGGAGCAGGACGCGGGCGCCACATTTAAATACGGCATGGCGGTAGCGCCGGTAACAGACTGGCGCTTCTATGATAGCATCTACACGGAGCGGTATATGCTCACGCCGCAACAGAACGGAAATGGCTACGATGGTACTGCAGTCAGCAACGTTACAGCCTTAGCGCAGAACGTACGCTTCCTTATTATGCATGGTGTCGCAGATGATAACGTGCACATGCAGAACACGCTCACGCTGTTAGACAAGCTCGACCTAGCTGGTGTCGAGAACTACGATCTACATATGTTCCCAGACAGCAACCATGGTATTTACTTTCATAATGCGAATCGCATCGTTTACGATAGTAAGTCACTTCTCCCCACCATTTATGCTACTGTCTGTTAGGGGCATCGCATGCTAACAAGTAGCAGAACTAAACAACTGGCTCATCAACGCATTCAATGGCGAATGGTTGAAGGTCACGGATGCGAAGCCTATAACTAGTAAAGCGAAGAGAGATATAGAAATAGTTAAGAAATCGGGGATCAAAGCCAGCGGTGGGCAGACGCTGCCGCTATCAAGTTTATCCGGGTTGGATTTATTATAGACTGCATTGTATAGCGGCGTCCCGGTGTACATCTATTCGGACTTGTATGCTTTTGCATAGAATATCAACAAATAAAGACAATATGAAGCCATATAGTGTTAGGTCCCAAGCTAGTAGTTCAGCGATGTTGTCTACTTGGCCAATACCTGGATTGGTCGATCAGTGTAACTTATGGTAAGGTATACCATGACTTTACCCCTATTATCAGTTGACATGTTAATACGAACTAGTCCCTGCCTATAATGTCTGAGATACCGACAACTTGAAAACTCTTATAATCATATCTGTGGTATCTAAATGTCATAAACAACACTTGGGCTTCCAGTACTATCGTAGTTTCAACTCCCCTTCAAAACCCATTGACGACTCACATTCCAACATAGCCTCCCGGGTTGACCCGTGAAATTTGAAGCATGTTGAATTTAATTAACGAGTTGTAGAGGAACCTGTGTACTAGGATCAATCTTTTCGACAATAGCCGCGGTACCATAAGCACAGTACTGGGCAAACCCACCCATATCGCCCGATTCGAAGCGGAGGCAGATAATAGCGTTGCCACCGCGAGCCTTCGTCTCGGCCACGACTCGACTAATTGCATCATTTCTCGCCGAGTACAGCTTAAATAATAAGTATTTATCAACCTAGGTAGGGCTAAGATACGGTAGATAGAAGAGGTAGGATAGATACCATACTGGTGAGCCAGCGCAGCTCGCCGCCCGCTATGCTCTTGATCACTATGCCCATGCTCGCAGCCCAGTTCCGCTATCGGACTGTTAGGCCGTAGACGGCGCCGAGGACTTTGACTACGCGGTACCCCGGCACGTCGAACATGGTGGTTGTAATGACGCCTTCGGTCTCGGTGAAGTAGTCCGAGACTTGTGGCGGGACGTCTGCGGGGGGTTGGGGTGGAAATTCATTGTTTTTGTATTTGGGCTTTATGGTGGTTCGATCGTTAGTCTATAAATAAGAATGACTTCTTAAATGCTCAATGAGGTTTTAACCATAGATCTTCGATGTATTGGTGGTTTTAGGTACTATGCGATTGAATAGCCAGTGAAAAGGGGTAATTGTTACACAGTCTATGTTTCCAACTACCTAGGTACCCTTTGTGCTTTCAATACCAAACCCCAAAATCAACTAGAGACATGATTTTTTTATATCTCCTCAGCTCTTAGCAGCCAAACCATCTTCTTGACACAGATCAGGTGTTGTCATGCGCAAAAAGGCCTTAGGGGATACTGGCTTGTAATTGGTCAGTTCCCTTTGCAATTTACCCAAAGCGGTCGCTGTATAAGTCGTATTCTGTTTTGTGGACCCGACTATATCTCGATCGCGCTTATTAGTGAGTCTATTGCATGGCAATGCCACTAAATTCATATTCTAATTACAACTAAGCCACTACTAGTGACTTAGACTATTGTTGACAAGATTATATGTGGTTAAGTATGCTGCTTTAACACTATATGTTGTATTTATTTCTTTAATGTTGCTATGAGCTTATTCACATGTCATAAGTTTGATAATTTATTCTACATGAAGTTTTACGGAATTTTCTTGGTAACTTAGTAAAAGTGCTTCCTTTTCGCAAGATTCAGCTTAGTATCGGCTAACCCGTTCAGAAGTCTCATATTCAATTAACCGACCGCAGTCCTCGACCATTTTCTCGCCTAGACTACTGTCTGAGAATTGAAATTGAGCTGCTACGTCCACGCCACAATCTCCGGAACCAGCTTCCGCCTCTAATGAGGACACGATCTATTCTTCGTCGATAGCTATCAACTTCGACAAATATACTAGAGAAAACCGTCTAATTATGGGGAATTTATAATTATAGGTTGAGCTATAAGTAACCGCCTAGGTATGTATTATATTGACTTACAATCATATAGGACTATTACGGGGCTTGATGTTTGTGCTTGAGTAGGTGTATTATATAAGGCGAAATATATCGCGTATTCGAGATTTAAGTATTAAGCATAGACAGTTACAGACTGCCTGCATAGGTACATAACCTTATGTAATTCTGCAATTACTTTTTATTGGATTCTCTTTACCGAATTGATCGTCAACAGCGCCGCATTTCTAGGCACCATCCTTCAAGTAAAATGGACGTCATTAGCCTTCCTTATTGATTATCCTTCGTCTGTATCGGTAGACTTGTGGAGGCTTCTGAATCCTCTCGGCGGCTAAGAAAATAAGCTTACATTTTACCTTGACAACTGACACGTGATAATCGACTTAAATAAAGATCAGTGCTCAGTAAGTTAGGTACCTAACGTAATCCGGTGACGTCATGTTTTGTAGGATGCTGTGATACCGCAGCATTAAGAATCCTGTGGGTTTTATGCATTTATATGTTAGGTATGCATTTACATATAAGTGTGGTATTCTTAATATCAGCCATGTAAGTAGAGCTGCGTGTTTATTATTGCTATAACTCCGCTGCATAGCCTCTATTTATTATTTATTCAACTTTCGCTGCCCCGAATCTAGACCTCGATTTCTTTCTCCTTTTCAATCAACCCATTCACCACAAACTCCTGCAACCCTCTAACAATAGGCACGTACGAATTTCAAATAACAATCATTTGATCTTTAATATTTATCACAGTCAATATTCTGCAACGCAAATTACAGGATGGCATCGCACAGCAATACGGAAAAGGAGGAGCCTACAACAGAGTTTCCGACGACGGACAGTGAATCCGATGTGGATGAGGAGGAGGAGATGAGGAAGTGGCTTTCAACCACGTACGAGCGCGGCTCGAAAAAGCCCATGAAGGAACCCCTTACAGCACCTTGGGGTCTACCGATCAGCGATGCAGACGTGGAAAAGCTCAAAGTCGGGTTCAAATCTCGAAGTATGGACGACAAATGGGACATGTTGATCGAGGAACCGGATGAAAACGGCAACATATCTCTCCACATCATTCGAAGCTGGTTACAGGAGGAGTGCTACATACTTCACATTGTTCCAAAACTAAGCAACGATGATGGCGGGAGTGCAACGATCCAAAGTATTACCTGGGAAGGGAACAAGGCGGGTTTGCAATGTGACGCAGAGCAGGCCAAGAAGGAAGCCGTGATTCTGTCCAGAGGCCACCTCAAATGCAAGTTTGAGACGCTTCCCCAGTACCCGTCCTCAACGTTTTGGGATCCTAGTGCTTATAAGAAGCTGGGTGAAAAATAGGACCTTTAGCTGAGATGATAGTCAATATTTTCTAATATACTGTAATATACTGTAGCCTGTTCTCACTGTCTAATAATGTCATAACAATTACAACTACCCTATTAGTCAAGGCACCCTCGACAAGCTCCGACTCTGAAACACCTGCCACTGGGAGCCCTTTAACACAGAGACGCTCTCGCTCTGCAGTCTCCAGCTCCTGGGTTAATTGACCTATTGTCAAAAGGCGGCTACTAAAGAAGCAATACAGACTCACGAAAAAAAAAGAACATATGAGAAAGTTAGAACATGCATTAGAAAAAGCAAGTGTTTAGATTTTATGAAAAGCGAGTGTTTTATTCATACACGATTGTTGGAACTACTTGATATCTAGAGAAAGAATCCAGCATTGAGAGGTAGGCATCTTAGGACAGGTAGCCCAGGCGGCTGCGCGCTATAATCAACAGGACAGCTGATTTCAAGCAGTGAATGATCGTGCCTTAGCACTCCCGCCCTGGCCCCGATCAAAATCTTCCCTGGTCGTGGTTGCGGTCTTCTTGTTCCTCTTGAATGTGTCCCATTTAGTTATGTGATCCCAAGGGACAGAGCCCTTTATTGAAAATTCCTTCTCAGCAGGATGAGGGTGAGGTTCGCCCGCATCCTGGAACGCTTTGATAGTGTCAACAGGATCGAGGCCTGATGAGTCGATATAGTAAATTAGACGTTGCCAGGGGATGTAGCACCTGATTTGGCGAAGTTATAATCGGTCGTGGTCGACACCCATGGATCATCGTTTCCTAAGAGATTCTTGACATGGTCAATGACGGAGCCGTCCCCGTCAGGGTTACGGCTCAAGAGACCTCCGTCATTTTTAACCTGCACAGGTGGGCGGAAATCCACGCGATAGAGCTCGGCAGCCGCAGCAGGGCCTAGTAGAGCTAGGAAAGAAACGAAGTAAGTGAGATAAGGGCGACCGAACATTTTGAGCTGATTTTCTTTGCTGGCTGCAAACGTCGAAGAGTTGAGAGGCTCGGAGAGATGAAGAGGCTTCGAGATATGAAAAGCCTTGGAGTTGAAAACAGTGTCAAGATGGGATAGATGGCTTGGTTTGAAGATTGCAATGTTCAAGTCACGGAGCAATAACAACAACTTCTTTCTTTAGTATCTTGGTTACATGTTGAAGAGTTGACAGGGTCTCAGACAGTTACAACGGCTTTACACGGATTGTAATTCAGGATGGTAAGGTTTGATGGAAGGATCAAGTAGAATAAGCACACCAATTGCTTGAAAGCTACAGAGGTTGGGAGAGATTGTAGATAATGCCTAATAGAAGGATCAGATGGAATATACGGGAGGAGGCTATTGACAGAGACGATCAATGACGTTAATAGTCATGGTGGTTGTCATCGCCAAAGATGTGTACTCAGGGCGGTGAACTTCAACAGCTCAACCAAGAGTACACCGACAATGCGTTCGAATAGTTCCGGTGTCTCCTGATAGAATGAAGGATCCCTCGACTCCATGCGAACCCGCTGATCATTCACTGGGAACTGTCGAGCCCTGCCCATACCATGCCATTAGACTGGATCGCGCTACCTAGGGCTGAAAATGGGTCGTTTAGCAGCATGGGACGCCCCCCATTGGCTATCGAAAAGAGTCTGTAGATGTTACATGATGAGGCTCTGGGGTTAATGGTATACAAGTACCGGCTCAAGTGCTTGGCCAGCATGTGGCAGATCTTCGTCGATCACGGGCATTTCGATATTAGCGCGCCCTTGAAGGATTCTGGCCTGCCTCCTCTCGGGTTCGTACTTCTATACAGTCTTGTTCATCTATTGTGTTTTTATTTTAATAATAATGTGATATAGCTACGTGTTAATGCGGAGTCGCATTAGAGGCTGACTCCTTTCCTCAAGGCAGTCGATCGCTCACCTCTTTCAACTGTCAAGCTGCTCCACGCCGCTGGGGGGTCGCCCGCAATCTCGGTTTCGCATCTCGCCTTATCCTACTCGATGCGGGTGTAGATCTTAATGCGGAAAAGTGGGCGCATAATAGCAAGGGCTATGTATGTACGCTACCGACTTTTGACTTGGGCAGTGGACTGAATGCTACGCTTGCTAATGATCGCCCTGAGCTGGCGGAAGAGCTCAGCTATGACAAGGCGCTCGAACGAATGTACCCACTTATAATATCGCCTCACAGGAAGAGACGGCTTCAGCTCTTGCTACTCGATACATGCAGCCCCTATTGCCGCTCGTGAAGGAATACCGAGCGCGAGAGCGAGGTTAAATAGGGTTGCAAATAATATTGTAAGATTACATCATGGAGGAATAGAACTTTATTTCTATTTTCTGTCTATTATAGACTAACTTGGACCATGTAACTCGGTTTGGGTAAACTCTGTAGAACATCTCGTGCACAAGGAATCAATCGTGAGCTATGCAAAACTATCTCACTGTTGATTAAATGAAAATAGGTGTTGCATGTATGTTCTCATTCACGTATATGCCTTTCTCTACGATATCTGTCGAGAGACGTTGAATTAAGCAAACCGACCATGATATGGTTGACGGCCCGTGATGTAAGACAGGGGCGGGGGAATACAGCTAAAGTGGCACAGCTAAATAGGAGGAATATCCGGCAGATCCGGGGTCAAACAAAAGATTTGATTATCAAATCGGTACTCTATCTTATATGCTGGACGTAATAATAAATAATATTCTTGTTTTTCTAAAAGAAAAGGTAAATATTTACAGTATAATTAGTAAAAGTTCATCAATATTCTCACTTGGTTTTCTATCTGTCAATTGCTATTTTTACCTCCGCTCGGGCCCCCACTACTCTACAACGACACAAGATCGACGTATCGATGAATTCCTATTCTATGCTCTTTAGGGGTCAATGCTTCGTTGATCACAAACAGTGCCACCATTATGCGAGGGACGCCAAGGTCAGCATCGTCATGACAGCCGGACACCACCTCACAAAAGCTATTATTACGACTCAGTAGGATTATACAACTATGCGGAGACAATTGACATCACGTTAGTGGTGCTAAAGCAAGAGGCATACTCGACTGGTTTCGGAATCCTAAGAGAAGCTGCTTTATGCTTGGCGGGAACATTCTCGCTATGACAAACCACCGCAGGTCTAGTCAATGAGGTGCAATGGGACTACCTGCCTTCATTCAAAATACCAATATAAAGGTCATGTCTCTCCAGCTTTCATAATTCCATTCCCTCATCATCACTGTCATCATCATCATCATCACCACTAAAGCTCTTCATTCAGCTTTCCTACACTACTACAATAATCAAAGCATTTTATTCTGCCTCACAGCTCGCGTCAACAAACCACACCATTACTCCCATTATTACTATCATGCAGTTCAACGCCGGATCCCTCGTCTTTCTAGGCATTGCCGCCTTCAGCAGTCTTGCGAATGCCCAAGCAGTCGCCTTCGGCCAGCAACTCCAGAACAACGACCAGACCAATCACTGGGTCACTTGGGTCGAGGGGGAGCACGCATGCCCCGGCATGCAAGTCCTAGACGTTCTCACAAAAGCCCCTTGTGACCAGGCGTTCAGTCTCGGTGAGGTGATGTATACCTTCACTGGCTGCTCCGGCGACGGCGGCGCCCCCACCGCCCTTCTTGACTCCGGCGGCCTCCAGATCGGCGGATGCTCCTCTAACGACAACGATAAGATCAACTGCCACGATGGACTCCATGATATCATCAAGCACGGCACGTGTGTCATAGTCACTGGCGCGTAGGCCGAATCTGGTGGTATGAACCTACCATCGTCGGCAACTGGGCGACAGAGCGATATTCGAACACAGGAGGATTTTTAGGTTGTGATGCCACAAAGACAATTTATGGATGGCGTTGGGTTTTAGAAGAAGGAATTCGTCTCTCGTCTTTTTGTGGTGTCTCCACGAAGCGTTCCCTTCACTCTTCCAATTTATGTGTTTATAGTGTAGCAAGTATAATTCATAGCAATTGTTGAATTTAACGTTAAAAAAAACTCGAATGTGGCTCAATTTTCTATCCGATGCTTTGATGCTGTGTTAAGGTGGCCGTGAAATACGTTTTAGCCCTAGAGCAACTGGTCTGAATCTCTACCGACTTAAATACAACAGTCAACCTTTAAAGGAGTAATGACTTCTTATTATAATACACATCTTACTTCGACATGTTTTTGAAGCCTTGATTTTTCTATTGCTTGTTTTCATATTATAGCAAGACTAGCCGGGCAGTATACGAGGCTGATATAAAGCAAATTAGTGAGATTGGAAGGTCTTTGTCTTAGTAGATTTGGCGGGGTTATACGGATCCATACATGGGCGACTAAACAAGTTTATATGGGACTATACGAGGCAATTAGTTATAATGTGATAATTTTTTACCCAGCTATTTATGCAATTATACCGTTTATATTGCGTGGGTACCTTAAGTACCTAGGTAGCACGCGTAGTACACTTTAACCATTTACAAAAAAAAATCAAGCAACTTTTACTTGAGATAACTATAATGTGTAGGCATTCATATATTCATATATGATATCGTTTCAAAGTCACAAAAATCTCGAAATATCAAGGATCGGAATTCGATATCCGAATTGAGTGGCGGGTCAACCTTAAAGTACCCAAATAAAGGGAAAAAACCCATCTTGACCAACATAACAACGAGTGTAACCCATAAGAATGAACCTTAGTCAATCAATGCCAATCATCAAAAGCACAGTGTGGACAGGCGTCGCGTGTTTTATCAACTGTGAGTGCCAAGACACTGCCTGGCTATATTCAACGGTTAGAAAAGTGCTAATATAGTTGTATTCATATAATTGAAAGAGGGTATTATATCTCACCACTTTCCAGAATATCGTAAGCTCTACTTAAGGACGAAGCTGAAACTCGGTAGCAGGTGTATCAGCTGGGCCTTTCCCATTCTGATTATCATCATAGGTCTCGACAGCCTTGGTTGGGGCTGGCGGAATGTTGCCGGCATCCTTTCCCGGCTCAAACCACTGCATCCAAGGCTGTGCCTTGACAACACTGGAACCCGACTGTTGGGATGAAGTCATGATGAACGGTGGTGAGGTATTGAATAAATAAATGACACCTTGGTCGCTAGGAATTTAAGATGGATTTTATTTCAAAGCTTATAGGTGGTGGAGGAATAATCTAAAGAAGGAATCATCGAGAGATGCTGACCATTTATACTTGTGTTGTAGCTGATCTTGTTCTCGATAGGCTTGATCAATTCACTCGTAATTTTCATTGGTTGTCTTTCATACTAGGTACCTGACCTAGGCTACTTGCTAGGTAAATGTATGTGATGAACGAAAAGAGGGGCAGGACACATGAAACATTCTTTGGAGGGACCCGCAAAGACCCCGAGAAATTGAGGCTCTAGGTGGACTATTATGTACCTAAGTATTTAGTTTCCGTTAGCGCCGGGGCGCTTTCTTCCCGTCACATCTCACATCAGGTACCTGTAAAACAAGCAGACAGGATACCGGCTTTCATGCGTGTCAGCACTAGCTTTTCCAATCCCTTGACAGCATTTCTCTTCTGAACAAAACCAATCAAGAACAACATGATCTTTTTTTTTTTTTAAACAAAAACAGGTTACTTACCTACCTACCTAACCTAGGTAGGTACTTATATCATAAAATAACTGATTTTGTTGCCTTATTTGCATAGCGTAAGGACAGATAAAATGGCTACTGGACTTCATTCGATGCCCATTTTCCCTTCTTCTTGGAACACCCAGTACTGCCAAGCCTGTGTTATTTTTCTGAGCTGTGCATGCAGGAAGTGTCCGACACAAGACGGCAAACATAAGGCTCTCCTGGTACTTCCAGCGACTTTGAAGTGACTTATGCTGTAGCGTCGTATACGTCCAATGAGATAACTCCTCAAATATCAATTCCCGAACCTCCAAGATGCCTAATCGGGCTGAACTGTGTCAAGGCGGTCAGCACTTTCCACATTAATGAATTCCGGTGTTCGCTCATTTTCCTTAGCTTAACCCGAATTTCATCTCTTTTCGTAGGCGCTTGCATCATGCCTGAAATTCTTCAACGATTTAGAAATTGCTTTGAAGGAATTCTTGGACGCGCCTCTGTGCATCCAAGTCTCAATATGAAGTACTCTAACACCGACTTGGGACCGCCGCTTATACGATTAGGGGCAGTCAGCTACGTCGCAATTCCCCATGTCAAGGTCAGTTAATTTTTGTTCCAGCGCCTTGGGTGTTCTTTTTAACAGGACTAAAACCCTCAATCGCAGCTCGAGCTACACCAGACAAGCAATAAAGTCCAAGGCCCTCCAGTATTCGAGTTGTATCCCGGCGAATACATGCCAGTCATTGTTATGTCTATCGATCAAAACTCGTCCCAAAAGTCAGTGCTAGAGGAAATCAAATTGTTTCAAGCCGAAGATGATGTGTTTTCCAAGGGCTTTTTGTCGAATATAGTTGTAATGCACGGCCCTGTGAAAGACATTAATCGGCTCCGAGACACATTGACTTCTCTACCTACGAATGCAATCACTGGAGACTGGGCACCAAATACGGTTCTGTCAGTAGGGAGTCCATCCAACAGTACTCCAGACGGTCCTTACTTTCTTAGCCAAGGGCTTCACCTGTTCGAAGCTTGGCGGCTTTATCCGGATACACAGAATAGTTTCGTCACGGGGATCATACCTTCAACTCATGCCGGCAGTCTTTTCCAGCCTCTCGATGTCCGCTTGCGGGGTCATCGAAATGCAATTGCCGTCCCGAGTCGTCTTTATAGCAAGAAGACTCCATCAAAGCCTTTAGCTGGGATGAGATTTAGTGTCAAAGATAACTACAAAGTTTCAGGAATCATGACCACTCAATCCAATCGTGCCTGGTGCGAATTATATGATGGCAAGCCCGAAAATATAACTGCCGATTATGTAAACACGTTGGTAGGTCTTGGTGCTGTTCTTGTGGGTAAGACATTGATGTGTTCTTTTGCATCCTCAGAAGAAGCCACAGATCAGTGGATTGATTTTCACGCTCCCTTCAATCCCAGGGGAGATGGTTACCAGAGTCCTTCTGGAAGCACGACAGGGGGCGGTACGAGCCTAGCGGCATACCCGTGGCTTGACTTCTCCGTTGGCACCGATAGTAGGTGAATCTAGAATCATTCTATAACGCATCGCTTAGTCATGACAGCAACGGGGAGCATCCGATGGCCAGCCGCATGGTGTGGCCTTTTCGGACTTCGGACAACATGGAGAGAGGAAGCAATGGGAAATGTTTATCCTGCATGCAGGTGTGTTTCTCCGAGAAATTATAGCTGACACAATTAACTCTGTTTAGATTTATGGATACCGTTGGACTTCTCTCTCGAGACATGGACGGTATGGAGAACTTGGTCAAAACAACCATTCCGGGGCCCAAATACTTTAGTAATGATCAACAAGTCAGTATCAACGGCATGACCATAACTTGATATATCTAACAAGCCATGAAGCTGCCCAGCGAGATCCTATATCCCACAGACTTCTTCCCTATGGCAAATAGAGAACAACAAGACTTGGTGAAGCGCTTTGTTGGCGACCTTGAGAGATACTTGGGAGTTAATGCAACCGAAATGAGTATTGCTGACCGCTGGAACAAGTGTCCTCCTCCTGAAGCTAATGGAAAGACGATCCAAGAGTTCCTAAATAAGGTTCTAAGTCATCTACTAAGTATTCTTTAGCGTATGTACAATTTCTGACATGCTCTAGACCGCCTATAATCCATTCTACTACGACGGTTATCATGAGTTTGATGACTTTCGTAAGGAATACGAAGAAAAATTCCAAAAACCGGTCTATGTTGGTCCTTACATGCGATGGAAATGGTATGTTGTCACCTCCTTGGTGAAGGCTAGTATTAATGTTGCTTAGGGACCGAGGCTCTGAGGTTTCCCGTGAAATGAAGGAAAAGTCATTGGAAGAAGTGCGGGTCTATCGTCGCTGGTTCGAAGAGAATATTTTAGCCCCTAAGGGATCTGGTGGCACTACAGCTGTCATGATAATTCCTTGTGGCAACAGCGTGCCTAAGTATCGTGACGATCCCAACAGGTACGTAAGCAATCTTTAACCTTTCCATTGTGCTGACCGATTTTCTCCAGTGCCCCAGGGCCCATCGGTGCTTTTACATGGAACTACATTGCCTCAGTTCAAGGTTTACCACAACTGGTCGCTCCGAGTAAGTAACAATATGACTAGAAGTGTTACTGACTCGTAATCTCGTTTGAAGTCGGCAATATACACTACGAATCCAGAATAAGCAAGCGAACCGAAGAGCTTCCAGTAGTTGGCACAATAATTGGCGCCGCAGGTACGCCAAGCCCCAATTCATGCTTCTAGGGCCTCTATGCTGAACAAACTTCCAGGGAGTGATCTACTACTAGTTGATGTTGTGAAAAATGCCCTTGGACGTGCCGGCCGTCCTATTAAAGTTTCCACTGGGCGTGTTATCTTTTCTGAACAGAATCAATGAGCGCCGTTGGCAGGGATGAATAGGAATAAGCCCCTTACCGCTACTCATATTCAGGTGCTAAAGTAGACCGATGATATATCTTAAATGCGCTTGCACCAATACAAATCAATCGTGCTTTCTTTCTCCCAAAACTATGCCTTGCTACTAGCGCAAGTAAAATAAAATGGAACCTACTTTATTGTTTATGCCAATGCTAACCCTTCCCCTTGATTGATAGATGTTGATGAGAATGTTCTGACATTGTATATGTTAAAGCTACTAACAAGCCTAAACTCTAACTGTGGTATTGAGGCTTAAAGGCGATAATATTTTGTACCTGAGGCACTGGTTACGCGTTCTGTGACGTAAGCGGACGCAGCCCGCTGGTTGAACGAATTCGGGTCTGGGGCCACCTGAGATACCTAGCAAGAGTCGTTGATTTGCTTTATAGGTAATTGGTAGAAGTCAAGCCACGTTGAGCTACGCCTTGTCTTACCACTCCCTTGTAGTTCTATTAGTCGAAGCTTAGATCAGCCTTCGGTGTGGTGAGAACTGAAATGGTGTTATGATAACTTTATAGGAGATGTGGATCTAGCTAAACTTCAACATTATTTTTAGAATCCTTTTCACGTTGTATTCGATATTTATTATATGAGACGAAAGTATATTCATAAATCCTTGCACCAGTATCCGTGACGAAATAAATATGATTCTACTTCTAAATGCAACAGCTTTGCAAAAACCGGCCAATTATTGAACACATAATTATCAGGAATCGGCGGTGGATCTAAGAATACGATTGCAATCGAGTTATTGATTTCATGTGGTCAGCAGCAACTTCAACCTCTGTACTAACTGGCTCACTGCACAAATTGGAGATATAAAAGTGCAATTCTGTAGTGGTACGCTGTATTGGGAATACCGGATAAAGGATTTATATTAAAGAATTGAGGCTGCATTGCTTAAAGGAACATTTTTGCACTTTTCTATAGGATTTCTACATGATTGCCCGATGTTTTAAACTGATCCTTCAGCTTAGGAACGGTAACGAATAGTATTAATGAAGTTCCAAAGAAACTTTCACTTACATAAGTATAGGCACCTACTTATATATCACATATTTATTGGCTGCCTGCTTTTACTTATTGAAAATATCGCAGCCAATTCCTTGAAGATAATCGACATGAAAAATATACATTTTACATCTCTACCGGCATTGATCCTATTGGTGATATATTGCCAAGGCCTCGGAAATAAAATTGAAGCATCTTGACGGGACTTTTGCGAACGGAACTCGAAAAGGACTAAATCCGAAGCTTTCCGGTTACCTTAGGTACAAAAGGGTATATGTTGTATAAGTATACCGTTTCAATTATTAACTAATATGATTCGATGTTAAGATAGGGCGGATCAGTTTAACTACTCGGCAGAAGCGAAAGGGGCAAACCGAGATATGATATGGTTCGAGTTAAGGGAGTCTCGCAATGTATTTCCTTACCTATAGGAGGCGAGTGAAGTCATACCATAACTAGTGGGCTCAAATCATTTCAAGCATGTGGGAGATTATGGTATATCTTTAGCAAATCGTTTAAGCTATTCCTCGTTTAATTATCAATTTCTTCTTGTATTCCCCTTAGTGCTACGAGCATGGTATTGAAGTCAGTGCGCCGTACCAGATCTGACTCCTTATGTACGCTGCCTTTGATCGGTCCCCACTTTTCTATCCTCAACACCAAAGTCTGAATAAGAGATTTCAATTTCATAGGATGCCATCTAGTTATTTGTGAAGCTCTTGACATGTGAAATTTCTGCCTCTTGTCGTATATTATGATTTAGGTCATTAAACCATCCCCTTACTTCGAATGCTTGATCTATACCGTCCCAGCTGCTGATTTTCATGTATCAGCAAATATTCTTGAGTTTCCGTGATGTAAGAATAAAACATATCATTGGCTTCGTGAAGTTATCTGATATCTGTAATCAGAGCTTCTAGAACACTTTGGCAATGAACTACCTATGGGCTCCGGTTTCAGGCCGCATTTCTTGAGTAATGCATGAAAAGACTTGTCCAGTGCTTTGAGGATGTCTTCGTATAGTTTGCTTAGTATCAGGTTCCGCTTAGTAGTTGGTTTTGAGCTACTTTCTTTCTAGCTAGCGGTTGATTGTTAGGTATCAATATTCTTGGGTAAATACCTTAGGTACCTCCTAAGGTATATGGGCATGACAAATATGATCAAGATGTTTTCGGCTAATTATGCACATTCTCATTTTGTTCAGGGTCCGCTTCAATAAAAGAATATAACTTCTTGAAAAGTGGCTTAGTGTTATAAAGTTAAGTTCAAGTTACCAATCCCTTATGTACTTGGGGCGGCGTGGAAAATGGGGTAGAAGTACTAAGACACGGTAATTGAAATTGCGGGCGAGGTGGGTCCAAGGTTTTTCACTGGGAACTAAAGTAGCACTAATTTGGGTTTTCACACGGGCATTCTAAAATCAATCAAGATTCTAGATGAGACATCTAGGGTAAAGAACATGTTCAATATGTACAGAGGTAGAACCTTATAGTTAAGTTAGAGTTCCTTGTGGAATAACGAGGTTGTTTTCATGCTATTTGGTTCCATCTCGTGACAGCTTCTAGGAGGTACTCGTTAATCTAGATAGTTAGAAACTTAATCCAATACTACCTCTCAGCTACCTTAATTAATATAATATTGAAGCTTCAGGAGCTTAATCGTCTTGGTTAGGCGTATTTCAATCATGAGTTACCTTTAATTCTATATTGAGCTTATTCAAACGCATACAATGATCCGCTTTTGAGAATTATTTGGTGTTTTACATATTTCCTGGCAAGCGCCTAAGTTGATAGTCTTGGGTGACGCTCAATACTACCTTAGCCGTTACCTAGGCACTAAGCCAATATGCTTCGCTTACATCTTTTATTGTGTATTCGAGCTTATAATAATTCAGACTATCCTAAATACTTCACATCTACTAGCCCAAATACAATGAGCTTTGCTGTATGAACTTAATACCAAGCTGCTGCTCGAACCTCGATACTGCTTCTAAGTTCATCAGAGCTTTCGGAATTCGGGTTGAAGAAGGCGCAGTGAAATCCACCTGTTGCCAGCACGTCGTCAATGATCAGTAAATCCTGATTCGATTGAACTATGAAAAGATTAAGGATCTTACGAGGCAAAGACGGATTCCCAACACAAACGTTGCGGAATACAGCGACATCGTCCGGACATTGTCCGCCTAAGTACCACCATCTATGCTGTGGATTGCTTCGAAGAAAAACCGTTTCCCCAAGACCCTTCGGATACACCACATCGTTCGCAATTATATCGTTGTTGATATCAATTGAAGAGTAGTCGCACCATGCTAGAGGCCAATCCCGGGTGGGCTTTTGATTGAGAAGCCTCCAGATGCTGTAAATAAGGATGAGAATCGGTCAGAAAGAGCCAAGATATGATAGGTTGGAATACCACTATTGAGTGTACATACTTCAGTAGGTCACATTTGCCCTCTTTGGCCTCCTCTAGGCGTGCATCAACATCTCCTGACAGAGAATTTCTCAGCTTCAGCAAGGCCCCATTCTCGGTGAAGTCTACATGGGCGTAGCGGAATGGTTGAGAGGTAGGCACTACTGTCCCTTTTCGGGCTGGATATTGTGGAAGTCTGTGGCGAACCTGGTCAAGATGTCAGAAGTAGCAAGATAATGCTAACAATGAAGATGGTAAAATCAGAGTCCATGGGCTCAGTAAAGTGTATATGATTCGTTACTCACGACATGGTCGACAAATGAGACCTTTCTATAACGGGGAAAGTGTCTTCTGATTAATTCTGCGAGCTCGGCAAAATATCTCAGTAACGCTTTCTGTATTGTTGAAATCATTTGGCTCGAGACTCGTAGGCCAGTTCAAGAAGCAAAAACCGTTTACGTCCAACTCAGGGACCAAGCTGCCTCTAACATCCTGCACGATCATTGGCACATGATCGAACTCGTGGTTGTCGACCTTGGCCCCTTCTATGTGGCTGACAGAGAAGGACGTCGTATATGGCTTTTCGATGTCGAACTTTTTGTTTCTAGAAAAATAGACAATCTCTGTTGATAGTCTGCTATCCATTTCCAATGAAGTGATATAACGTACGCTGGACGTTTAGGGCGTGATTTCTATTTGTATAAGTAGCAGGTCTCAATATCCAATACTCGCTATTTCTAGGTAGCTCTGAATTATACAATGTTAGTATTCCTCTACTACTGCTATGAACTAGTTAAAAGAGCAAGCCTTTCTCTCAAGTAAATCTAACATTTCCGTTATTCTTCGTGCGCTCTTCGATTAAGCTCACCTTGCCACGATCCGCGAGCTTCTTCCCTGATTCAGAATTCCGGCCAACTTTACCCAGAATTGCACTTTGATGCAGCCTGAGGTATATTGGACACATGCAGCTGCAATGAGATCCTCATTGTGTAACACAACTCGGTCTGAGAATTTAAACGAGGCTTGACGGACAGGCCCCTCCCACACCAATCCCGATGGCAACCACCTCAAAAGAAAATCCCTCATCCCAATGAATAATTTTCAGGTACTTGACCGTGACTTTTCTATACCTCTGCAAGAGGTGTCATACTTCAAGTATTCTAACACCTCGTAGGAGCTCAAATCAGAAACCTTCCAACAATAATGCCTCTGAGAGAAATACCGTTTCGGCCTACTTCGCATGCCGAAGTTGAAGAGGCATCGTGTCTAACCGACTCATTATAGTGGGTTCATTTCTCCTAGAAACTACTGAGCAGGTGTGCAGTACACCGGTCTCTTGACTCCATCAGAGAAGTCACATTGATTCAAGTCTAATCCAATCTAATTGATTCATAGCATCATTATCTGCCCTAGTTTAAGGCAGTTATCTGAGCCTAATCAGGAAGCAGAGCTAGCAGCTTGGAGGGATCTGAACTCTCTGTTCGCTGTACGTTCTATTTACGTACATGTGCCGGAAATAGATCAAGACCCGATTTTGAA